CTGTCATCTGACCAGTACCCGCCCTCTCCTGGCCGAGGAACCTCCCTGAACCCTACTCGGAGCCATTAGAGAACTTAGCCAGCTAAGCATCAGTGGGCTGCAGCCATCCAGGCCTAAAACCTGGGGTCTGGACCCCCACCTTTCTGCTCCAGATGGGTTTTGTTACTTCTCTTTGCTTCAGTTTAGTATGTCCATTCCTTTCTCTGAGCCAACCCTCCCACTCCCAGTCTCCCAGGTCTTGCCTGGACCCTCCTCTCATCCCCAGTCCTACCAGTGGGACTTGGTGGAAAGCCCCACTCTGAGCAGCTCACACAGGATGGGGACAAGAGAGGCTTGTGGGTGGGTTCCTGCAGAGGCTTGGGGCTCTCAGTCATTTCCCTTCCCCCGCCCACCCAGCTGGAGACCGTGAGGTTTCATCACAGCTAAGTTGTTGTCCTTATAAGGGAAGGCCCACTGAGCCGCAGCAGCACACTCTCTGCCCGTGGCCTGCTGGTGAAGAGCCAGGCAGGGCCTCAGGGCATCCTCCAGATGTGGAAATGGAGATGGCCCAAGCCCAAATGTCCAGGCCGAGCATCCACCTGAAGCACAGACCCTCTAGAGAACTAGAAGGAAGCCTCCAGTCATGGGCCCAGGCTAGGCCCTGCCAGAGAGAGGGTCAAATCCCCTGGTCCTAACAACTGGTCTCCTAGGCAAATTGCTTAATCCTTAATGTAGGCTGTCAAGCAAGATAACATTATGTCTTTCTCATGAGGGTTCTGCAATGAGAAAAATTCGAGAGGCTCAGCAAATATAGGTGCTCTATGAGGATAGAGTTGGGGTTTATTAAGTGCTCTGCAGTAGACTTAGCACCCCCAGAATCATCCACATTACAGACAGGAGGAACTGGGGTCTCTGCCTTGAACTGAGGCACAGTTTGTCTTGATCCCTGTCTCCACCTCCTGAGCACTGGGATTATATGCCACCTGGCTGGGTTTTATTTAGTGCCAAGGATAGAACTGAAGGCTTCATTTACAATAGGCTTAAACTACATCCTCGGCCCTATTCCTGGGGATTGAATCCAGGTATATTCACTTCCAAATCTAAAATCCTTGTTTGTTTGTTTTTTTCTCCTTAGACCTTGTTTCCTCCAGAATCTTGTTTTTGTCGTTTTGGTTTTTTGAGACAGGGTTTGTTTCTCTGTGTAAAACCCGTCTGCCCTTGAACTTGCTCTGTAGGCCAGGCTGGCCTCAGATTCACAGACATCCACCTGCCTCTGCCTTGCAAGTGTTGGGATCAAAGGTATGCTTTATTGACCAGGCAGTGCTGGCACTAGGGAGGCAGAGACAGGCGGATCTCTGTGAGTTCGAGGCCAGCCTGGTCTACAGAGTGAGTTCCATGACAGCCAGAGCTGTTACACAGAGGAAACCCTGTCTCCATGAACAAAGAAACAAACAAAACCAACAAAGATATATGTTACCAACATGCTTGGTTAGAGAGAATTTTCTACGGTCTTTTTGTTTTGTTTTGATATTTTGACAACCCAATTGACTAGGCCTGAGACTTGGAGGAAAAAAAAAAAAAAAACCTGTGTGGCTCCAGACACACAGGGGGCTTCCGGGGCTAAGTGTGCATGGAAATGGAGAGGACTATCCCTGCTCGCCAGGACCTCCTCTTGTTGCTGGGTTCTATGCAAAAGAAACCAAGTCATGGTTTGCAGAGCTGCCCACAGGACTTCAGGCGCCCAAGGTGACAGCAGTATATGTTCAAAAGAAAGGCTCACCTTTTCTGCACAGGCCCCCGGTCCCCGAGACCAGAGGGAAAGTAAGTTCTTACCACATCCTCCCTTAGCCACCAGCACCATCCCAGCAAGCTAGTTCCTGGGTCAGGGTTAACCAGAGACTCCCATCAATAAGAAGACCCTCCCAGACTGAGGGGCTATATGTGTGAAATGTCATCTGAGGCCTCCAGCATCTGCAGACCCCTGACTCCTCACCGCCGTCACATGCCAGGCTGGTGGCTGGGGAATTCACAAGGGTCATGGCCACAGTTCACACATCCCTGGTCAGGTGCTTCCTGTTATGCTGGACACAGGGCCTGGCCAGCAGGGTCACAGAGGAGGACGGGAGCCTAGCCTTGGCAAGCTCAGTGGTGCTTCCCACACCAGGGGGAGAGCTTCGCAAGCTCCTTTTGTGAGCGAGGAAAACGAGATTCCTCCTTAAAGCTTGGGACTCAGAGGCAGTTCCTGGGTGGGACTTACACCTTGACAGCCTGACCGGAGATCTAGCACAGGGCTTCCCTAAACACAACGGGGCTATGACGGCAGGGGTCCAGGTTCATCCCTAACCAGGCCCAAGCTCTGAGGGTTAAACAGAACCAGCATTTTGGAATTACTGTGGGTAAACACTTGTTCTGCAAACATCATCAATCAGTAAACACTGGGGACTTTGCAATGGAGTCCAACATATTGTGCTTGCTTTTCCATACCTCCCAGAGCTAGTTGCAAAAGGAAAAATTAAAACAAACACCAATTACACAACAGGGAATAAAAAAAAAATCAGACTCATAGCCCAGGTGATCAAACTAAACAGTGACGCTGGGGATGGAGCGCCATGGTGGAAAGGATGCTTACAACATGTGTGAAGCCATGTAAACATATGTAAACCCCCAACACCATGAAAGAGAGAGAGAGAAAGGCACCAGATGTCATGGTTTCCAGATGGGATACCCTGAGAAAGACTGTTGGCACCCACACAATTTTGCAGTTGGGAACTCTAACTTCCACTTAAATCATGAAAAAAATCCCAAACCCAAAAGAGGTCTATTACTAAAGGCGGAGGGGTGGGTGTCATCTCAGCACACATTTTTGTAACCCGAGCACTTCTGAGGTGGAGGCAGAAGGCCAGGGTTTTAAACTCATCCTCATCTATAAGCTGAGTTAAAACGTCAGATTGAGTTAATGTTAAAAAAAAAAAAAAAAAGCCTGAGGGGCCAGGCACTGGTAGCACATGTCTTTAATTCCAGCACTAGGGAGGCAGAGGCAGGCAGATCTCCATGAGTTTGAGGCCAGCCTGGTTTACAAAGTGAGTTCCAGGACAGCTAGGACTGTTACACAGAGAAACTCTATCTTAAAACAAAACAAAAACAAAAACAAGGGCTGGAGAGATGGCTCAGAGGTTAGGAGCATAGGCTGTTCTTCCAAAAGTCTAGAGTTCAATTCCCAGCACACACATGGTAGCTCAAAACCATTTACAGTGAGATCTGGTGCCCTCTTCTGGCCTGCAGGCAGTACACTGTATACATAAATAAATCTTTTTTTTTTAAAAACATATATTATTTATTTAACTTTATTTTATGTGCATTGGTACGAAGGTGTCAGATCCCCTGGAACTGGAGTTACAGACAGTTGTGAGCTGCCATGTGGGTGCTGGGAATTGAACCTGGGTCCTCTGAAAGAAGCAGTCAGTGCTCTTAACCACTGAGCCATCTCTCCAGCCCCATAAATAAATCTTAAAAAAGAAAAAGAAAACAAAAAAGCCTGAGGGGTTAGGGCACAACAGGTATACTTGCTCATATGTCTATCCTTAACACTGAAAAGACCGAGGCAGGAGAATTGAGTTTAAGGCTGTTTGTGCTTTATATCAAGAGCCTGTCTGTCTCAAATTAAAAAGGGGAGTGAAGAGGTGGGTGAATCTCCCGAGTTTGAGGCTAGCCTGATAGGCAGTTCCAGGCCAGCCAGGGCTATATAGTGAAATTGTATCAAACAAGACAAAACCACAAAAAAGCTGGGTGAGGTAGAACATGATTTTAATCCCAGCGGATCTCAGAGTTACAGGACAACCAGGGTCAAACAGAAACCCTATCTAGGGGTGAGGGAGCATACACGTACATACAGTAAGACAACACCCAGAAAGGGTTGGAATTATTAGGTGGAGGAGGGATATCTGCCTGTAATCCCAGCACACAGCAGGTCGGAGGCAGGAGAATCAAGAGTTCTAAGTCATTCTCATATCATAACAAGATTAAGGACAGCAGAGGGTACTTGAAATAAAAAGAAAAGAAAACAGGCTGGAGAGATGGCTCAATGGTATAGAACACTAGCTGCTCTTCCAGAGGGCCCTGGTTCAATTCCCAGGACCCACAGGGCTGCTCACAACTGCTTGTAACTCCAGTTCTAAAGGATCTGACACCCTCCCACAGACACACACGCAAGTAAAACAAATAAATCTTTAAAAACAACAAAAAGTCATTGTTTATGAAAAAGAAAGACATGCTGAGGAAATACTGCAAATTAAGGGAAACTAAAAAGAGAAATTACGGCACAGGCCAGGCACACGGCACAGATATGTAACTCTACCACTCTGGGGGCGGAGGTAGAAGGACTGTTGTGATTTGTGACCAGCTAAAGCTGCATAGAACTTTGTCTAAAAAAAGAAGTGAAATTAAGAACTGATGTAATGGTACACGTCTTTGATCCCAGAACCCGGGAGACAGAGGTACAAAGCCTGGTCTATATAGTGAGTTCTGGGATAGCCAGGGCTACAAAGTGAGATCCTGTTATTTCTTCAAAGAAAGAAATAACAAAACTATTATTCTGACTTTAAGTCTGCTGTGGTTTATCACTGTATGTTCCAAAACACAGAGTAGGTTTGACTTGACTTATTTATTTAAACTATCTATCTACCTATCTATCTATCTTGGTTTTTTCAAGACAGGGTTTCTCTGTGTAACAGCTCTGGCTATCCCAGAACTTACTCTGTAGACTAGGCTGGTCTTGAACTCAGAGATCTGCCTGCCTCTGCCTCCCAAGTGTTGGGATTAAAGGCATGAGCCACTACTACCCAGTTGAGATTGACTTTTTAAAAAGTACATATTTAAGTGTATAAAAGCATGACAACTGCCTTTCCAGAACTGAGTTTGGAAGGCTGCTAGTGCCCCTGATCAATTGCCACAAGCCCCTTGCTCCCTGGGGGCCGGCCTCTGTGCTCGCTCCCATACCAACATACAGGCTTGGGGCAGAGAAGTTCCATAAAATGAGATTTATTGCCAAATTTCAAGAAAGATGGTTGATAAGCAGAAGACACTGGACGCCTCCTTCCGCAGTGACAGGGAGGCAGCCCTGAACAGTCCCCATCCCCAACCCACCCCTCCAGCAAGGGAGCCAGTGGCATTTGGCCATTAAGGTAGTAACCCCAGGACTGCTTGCCCAACTAATCACTTGACAGCACAGACTGGGGCTCTAATTCCTGGAAGCAGGTGACTTGGCAGAAGTCCAGCAGCCTTCTTGCTGCTGTAGAAGGCGATTGTTCTCAAGGGACGATGGCAAGGAATCAGGACTGGACACCTAAAGACATTCTTGTTCTTGTACAGGAGATGGAGGGACAGGCAGGCTGGCATAGGAGCCCCAGGAGTGTGGCTTGAGGCTGACAGTGTGGGGGGGGCTCAGGAGCCAGACATTGCTGTTGGCTCTGCCACTCACTGCGACCCACAGCAAGGCAGTGACAGCACAGAAATGAAGGCATTAGCCTGCACAGGCCGGCAGGCCTCGGTGGGCACAACTGGTGGCTGGGAGCAGGATGAGTGGAAAGGCCACTGGCTGCTGTGACCCTCCCTTCTCTTCCAGTAAACAAAAGTGCACATGCAGATCCCAGGTGAGGGCTCCTCCCCCAGCGTCCCCAGCCCAGGCTCCAGCCTCAGTCCTGCTGGCTGCCGCAGTGGGTTGAAGACTCTAGGGTAGCCCCCAGAGCCAGAGGCGATGGGGAAGGGAGGGAGGAAGGCGAGGGGAGAAAACACTCCTCTCATTAAGAAAGGAGGGGCAGCCCACCAGGGGCCTGAGAGGTGGGTTGTAGTCACAGACTCCAGCATGTGAAGGAAAGGGGGTGGATATCAGAGCATGTCTCAGCTGAGGAAGAACCACAGAGACCCAGATAAATCCCATCTGGGAGGCACAGGAGGCGGGGGTGGGGGCAGAGGCCTGTGAAGGTTGATTAATGATAATTGCATACAGGTTTTTCCGATGGTAACACAGGCCACACTCTAGGGTTTTCATCTTCGGAACTGTGCAAGGCTGGATAGAAGCTGGCCTGGGAGCAGAGACTGCACCAGGAGGCTGGCGTTCCTCTTCTCCCCTGAAAGCCTTGAGATCTGACCATCTAATGACAGCTCTCCAGAGGGGAAGGGACACTGCCGGAAAGATCCGGTTTGCAGAGCAAATGGCTCCATCACCCAAACGCTTACCCCTCTTTAGGCTCCAGCTAAGGGCCAGATTTCACTCAGCTGACAGATGACCTGTCAGCCTGGACCCAAGGTCCCTATAGCTACTCCAAGTGGGTGTGGCTGGTTGGAAGCTGCCTGATGAGCAGGAGATGGGAGCCTCAGGCAGCTCAGCTGTGCTCTCCACAGAAGTCAGGAATGTAAACTATTGGGGTGAGAACCGAGATGATGCCATCCCGGAAACTCCAAGCATGGTGCCAAAGGCCTGAGGCAGTTTGCAACAACCACAAAGACCACAGGAGTATGTGCTCCATCCTAAGCCCAGAGCCTGGGAAAGAGGCCGGAACAGGGAGCCGGCCAGGTAGCCTGCCAGGTAGCCCTAGGTGATACCTGGCACCACTAGCCAGGGTAGGGTAGAAAGGACATCAGGAGCTTCAAGGCCTGGCCAAACTTGAAGGCTCCGATGATGTGTCCACAGTCTGTGCTGTAGCTCATTTCTTAGCAAGGCTAGGCAGTGACGTGCGTGTAGGTGAGCTTGTGCCTCGGGCTTGGCAGGCCTAGGGTGCACTTCTCCTGTAGAGGGTCACCAGCTCCTTCCGTTTCTGTGCTAGCCCAGGCGCTTCTTGGTTCAGCTCTCCCAAATCCCTCATTTCCTGCAGAACCTGGGTAGCCTGCCTCAGCTGCTCCACAGCCTGGCTGAGCAAGGACTCAGCACATACAGGTTGTGGTTCGCTGCCCAGCACCTGGTTCAGCAACTGCTCTGTCTGTTTCGAGGCCACCTTCACTTCCAGCTGGGCCCGATACAACTTTTCCTTGGGCAGCTGTGCATGCTGAGGCCCGTCTCTGAGTAGGTCCCCAAGGGAAGAGGAGCGAGGATGAAACTGGGATGGCAAGTCCCAGGAGGGGTGTGCTGGGGCTGCTCTTGTCTCCTGTGGAGCAGCAGTTCCGGGGGTGCCCATTGAAGACTTAGGACCGTCATCCATGCCATTCACAGAGACCTGTGTTGGGCCTGAAGCAGTGGTCTCAGGGGCCTCAGAACTCTGGGATGGACCAGAAGCATCCACCCCACTAATACAGGCCTTCATCTTCTCTGAAAGGATCTTGGGAGGGGGTGCAGGGGGTTTTTTGCTCTCCCTGGGGGCAGTCTCTGGAGTCTCCGAGGACAGCACCTTGGGCAGCTGGGCATTCTCAAGAGCAGAAGACTCCTCTGGACTGGGGTTCTCCCAGCTCACCTTCAGTTTCTCAGACAATGTGCTGTTAGGGAGCCTCTTAAAGTCACTGTCCTCCTCTGCTGGGGTCTCCGCATCTTCTGGACTCTCAGGATTGGCCTCGGGGCCTGCTGAGACAGGAGTCGGGCCTCTCTCTCCTGCAGGAGTCTCCATGCTGTCATCAGCGCTGGAAGTCTCGGGTACCGGGGAGGGCTTGGCAGGAGGCATGAGAGCCCGGGGTGGCTCCTGGGGCTGAGTTTCATCTGCTTCACTGACAGGAGCAAACACTGGTGGTCCACTGTCCGGGACATCGAGGTCCAGGCGCAAAAGCCCGTCAGAAGCCGCACTGGCTACCTGGTGTGAGGGTGGTATCCAGGTGTCATCTTGGATGGCCACTGGGTCAGATACAGGCTCCCCCAAATTGTTTACTCCACCTACTTCTACTTGCCTAGAGAGGTCTATCCAGCCTTTCTGCCCTTGACCTGGCCTGATTCTGGGACCTTCCTCACAGTACAGGGACCTTCCAGGGAGCTTCAGAGGTCACAAAGTTGGGCTGAGCAGGAAGCCGGTGCACGAGTGGGGAGGGTGGAGTCCAGGCTAGGACTCTCACACACTTTTGCACTCACCACGCGGTATGGCCAACACTTGGGATCACTACTGAGGCAGGGCCGTCCCTAAATTCTCAGAGTCTCTTCTCTAAGGCTGGGTTCAACCTCCTGCACACCCTCTCCTGGCTTGCCATTCCTTTCTCTCTCTGCGACTCCTCTCTCAGCTGACAGATAAGAGCAGGCTGTCTCACTACAGAACAAATCTTCCAAGGACCCTGTGTCCTTCCGGCCTGTGGTTCTCTGCTTTGGGGGCCCCCTGCAGCTGTACCTGGCAGCCCTAAACTGACTCCTTCTCTGTGAAAATATTCTGCACACATGGCCACTTTCTTTCCCCTCAGTTCTTCCCTTGCTCCTGCAGCTGCCTGGTCCTGTGCTGATGTCCCCAAATCCTAAGCCACCCAAGTCCACTTGCTTCTACTAGTGTTTCCTGACGATCTCTGTACTGGCTACCAGCCCTCTCCTTGTCAAAGGCCTTCTCTCCCGCGGCAGCCATTGCTGATAGCCTTAAGTGTCTTATTTGCTGAGCATTTTTTTCCTGGCCTTTAAAGTCTCTCCCCGACAGTTCTACTGTCAAGGCTACTCCTTACCACTTCCCCTTGCCTGGACCTTTTCCCAAATCACCTGTATCTGGGCCTGTGACATTCTTGTTTCCCACTGTGTATTACCAATCCCTTTCTCTTCCTCTTCAACCCCTGACAGAGCCTGGAATCCTTCTCCCTTCATTTCTCCCTCCTTCGACCCAAATCCACCCTAAGGATCTCAGAGAGATCTCCGGAACATTTCTTCAATCATATCCCCAACTCCTGCATCTAGGCCTCCATAGCTCCTCCCCCTTCACGCCCAGTCTAACCCCCAAACCAACAGAGCCCCGCAGCACAGCCTCAATTATTAGGCCGGGTGCCTTAGCTCCTACTAATTCCTCCAAGGGTCCCTCTCACTCCCACCCATCAACTAACCTGGTGCCAGCTTCAACTGTAACTACTCCTCCATGGTCCCTCCTGCCCCAGTCTCCTGGAGCTGTCCCTCTACTGAACTAGTCACAGCTAATAGGAACAGGCCTACCCTCCTGCTGGAAGACGACCTCTAAGTCACAGGGACTAGCTTCTCAAGCCTGTTTCCTCTGTCCAAGTTCACTGTGTGAACCATAGTTGGAAAAGGGCCCAAACATCTCTGTTGTCCTTCCTAAGCACATACCACTTAGCAAGCCCCAACTCCAGGCTAGCCCTGAGTGTCGATTGCCACCCTGAGGACCTGGAATCCCAGGTCCGCTGACCTCCCATTATTCAAACCAAGTGAAGGCCTTACCTCCTTTAAGTGGATTCTTGTTGGTGGCCGGCGCCGTTGACCCCCACGAACCCGGTTCCGTGTCACATGCTCGAGGGCACAGGTCTGATCTACTTTTACCTGGGAAGGAGTTAGAAGCAGCTGAGTCCCTGCCAGGTCTTGGGAAGACAGGAAACACTCACTGCCCAGACTCAGAGTCAGGGTCTGCACTCAGCATCCTCACTGCCCACATGTGTCTCCCTACTGTGACCTCCACTCCTCCCTGTGTCCACCCTGTCACCGGTGTTCCCTCTGCTGAGTGTGACAGTTCTCATTCTCCACAGCTTTCCTTCAGCTCAGTCTAGCAGATACATTCCTAAGCAGCCCTGAGACTGCTCGGGGGCTAAGCTGGGACAGGAGGGGAGGCCAGATCAGGACCCTCTGGGACCTAGCATGCATCAAAGTCTTGCCCTGACCTCTCTTACTCTCCTAACCCATGCCTAGGCCAGGAAAGGGCACGGCCTCTATGGCTGGGTCTGGCTGTGTAAAAGGCAGCCTCTCTTCCCTGAGTCAGGAAAGGTGGGCCCATCACATGGGAGGTCTGGACTCTGAATGCCGGAACTGCCTGTTCCTGGGAGGGAGCAGGACTCTTATTCCACTGAGGAACAGAGGGAACCTGCCAAAACTGCCAGAGACCTGTGGCCACTTTACCATCCATGATGTGGCCCACCATCCCTTCTCCCATATAGAGTCACTTTTCCCATACAGTGAAAGGCGGAGTGTGATATAGTGACGCGGGTGAACACACAGGACTCACAGGCTGGGACAGGGCAAGGAGGCGTCTCTCAAGTCTCATCTTCTGCTATCCAAATTTGTTTGTTTGCTTTTTTGTTTTTTGAGGCAGTTTCTCTGTGTAGCTTTTGAGCCTGTCTTGGAACTTGCTCTGAAGACCAGGCTGGCCTTGAACTCACAGAGATCTGCTACCACCGCCTAGCACAAGCCTAACTTTTTAAACCACCATTACCCTATGGCAATGCACAGCACAGGGGCCTCAGGAATGAAGGTCATTGCAGACAAACAGGGAAACCCTGCCCAGCTCAGGTCCATGGGCCAACTGAAGAAGGAGCTCACAGGCTAGGCAGTGGTGGCACACTCCTTTAATCCCAGCACTCAGGAGGCAGAGGCAGGCAGATCTCTGTGTTCAAGGCCAGCCTGGTCTATAAAGCGAGTTTCAAGACAGTCCACGCTATACAGAGAAACCTGTCTCAAAACAAACAAACAAACAACAACAAAAACCAACAAAAAAGAAAAAAAAGGAAGGTGTTCATGGGCTCTAAGCTCACCCCAGCCCTCAGCCTTGGAGCTGCCACTGTTTACCCAGTGAGGCTGGACTGGAAGGACACACAGACTGTGCAGCCAGTTAAATCCCACCCACTGCGTACATTCCCTTTCTTGGGTGAGCCAGCCCAAGACCCTGTGCAGATGCTCTACCACAATTATGCTCGCAGGCCACGTGCTTTTCAGTCTAAAATGAACCATTAAGGGCTGGGGATGTGGCTCAGCTGGTGGAGCGCTTGTCTAGCATACAGGAAGTCCTCCTGGCTTAGTCTCCAGCACCTCAGAAAACCAGGCTGGGTGGTACACCTGTAATCCTAGCACTCCAAGAACCAGAAGTCCAAGGTCATCCTTAGCTACACAGTGAGTTCACAACCAGAGTGCAAAAGATGACATTCTGTCTCAAAGAAACAAACAAACAAATCCTGTTTACTCATGCCTTAGTTTCCTTGGTAGAAACTGGACACTACCACTCACGCTGAAGGGCTTTGAGATTAAATGAAGTAGCCCCAGTGTTTGTAGCCACGACGGAGCTGAGGGGCAGTGTGGAATGAGGAGGGGGGGACAGGCTTCTCCTAAACTGAAGGGTCAGAGAACAAAGAACCCTCCAGAGCACCGCACCCCATACCTCATCAAAAGCCTTGTTCTTGCCCCGGTTGATCCCTTCGTTGAGGGCTTTGATCCAGGATTCCTTCTCTTCTCCACTGGGGGCCTGGAATTTGATGTCACTGACCTGTGAGAGACAGGTGGGGAGGATGGCAGATATTTTTAGGGCTCACATTTGGGGTCTTTAGGAAACCATTCCAAAGGGAAGCCTGAGTGACCCAGAGCGGTTCTGACATCGGGCTTTAAGTGGGGAGGGGCGGCATCAAGAGAGAGGCCCCCTCCAGCCGGCAGCTTCCGGAGACGTGGAGGCAACCAGCCTTGTCCTGCAGAAAGGATTCTGATACCGTCCTGCTTCATAAGGCTCTGTCTCGGGATAAGATGCATAAATAAAATCATGCTAAGTGAAGAAGGAGTCCGAGACTGACTGCCTCCCCCTGTGAGGTACCCAGAAAAAAAAAAACCAAAGACAGAAAGTAGACCGGTGACCGTGAGGGACTGGAGAAGAGAGAGTGGGAGCCAGTATTTAATGGATTTGGTTGCAGTTTCGTGAGTTTTAAAAGTGTTCTGAAGAAGGATGGCGGTGATGGCACCACCTGAAGAGTGAGGCTAATGCCTCTGAAAGTTCACTCAAAGTAGTTAAGGAAACTTTGGTCAGGAATGAAGGTGCATGTCATTTATCCCAGCACTCAAGAGGTAGAGACAGGCAGGTCTCTATGAGTCTGAAGCCACTCTGGTCTACATAGAGTTCCAGGCCAGCCAGGGGCAGGGGCTACGTAGTGAGGCCATGTCTTAAAAAAAAAAAAAATTCCGTCTGTGTGTTTGATCTTATACACGCTGCGGGGACTCTGGTAGAGCCTGGAGCTCCCCAGTGCTTCTGCTCTGGCTAGCCAGCTTACTTTAGGGATTCCGTGTCTCTGCCTGTCGTCCACTGGGGTCACAGGCAGGGCACCATACCCACATGGGTTTTACAGGTGTATTCAGGTTAGCACAGTCATCCCTTTACCACTGAGCCACCTCCCCTGTGACAAAATTATTTAAAAAGATGTATCTAGGGCTGGGGATGCCGCTTAGTTATTGGTTGAAGCCCTGGCTTCAGTCCCCAGCACCACACGAACCAGGTGTGGCTGTGCATGCCTGCAGTCCCAGCCGTTGGAAGGCAGAGGCACAGGCAGGAGAGTCAGAAATCCAAGGCCAGCTTGAATACCTGAGACTGTCTCAAAAGAAAGTTCCGAAGAAACTAGATCTGGAGCTGACCAGAAGGTGTGCGAATAGCACCCCAGCCTTCACCTGGGCAGTTTTACTTTCTCATTCATGAAATGGGATAACTCAGTTTACTACAAAGCAATGCTGAAAGAATTAAACATCAGAACTAAAGCCCGGCACACAGTAGGTGTTCAGTAAGAATAGGTGAATGAGACAGCCCATGAATGAGCCGGCCTAGGTTCCTCCCTCACCCTGTTTCTGGGCGGCTGCCTACTCTCTGACCTCAAGACGCCCTAGTTCTCTGTTGGTGTGGCCAGTTTGCCCATTCCCCGCCCTGGTATTAGATAGCGCCTCCTGCCACTCTGCCAGTTAGTTATGTAACACCACAGTACAGTGCACTTGGCCTGGCCCCCCTCAGCATCCTCATTATATAACTTCCTCCTGGCAGCACCACCTCCTCCTCAAACAGGACCCTAGGTCCCCCCTCCAAGCCGGCCACAGCCAAATGCTCATTTGCATGACTGGGCTAAATTAGATCCCGGCAGCTGATCTGCAGTTAAGTCAGAAAACCCTAGGGCACCTTGGCAGCTTCCTCTCACCCCAGCCTTCAGGGCTGCAGGGTCTCAGGCAGAGGCCACAGCGCATACCGGGACTACAAAGGCCACTCAATCCTGTGAGGTGCCAGGGGTCTAGGCAGCCCTTCTGACCCCTGCTGTCATACCTGTTAGGGGTTCAGAGTTTATGGGGTCCCCTCCCTGGTACAGACTGGCATCTCAGAGTTGAGAAACACACACTGGAAGTCAGTAGCGGCAGGAGTGGAGCAGAGAACAGTCAGGTGCTGAGTTCTCTCTTCGTAACTCTGGTCTCAAAGGGCTGAGAACAAAACTACTAGACTCAGTTGCCCCTTCTCCACTGGCCCAGTCCGCCAGCCACAGGCTGCAGGGAGGGTACTGGTTCCCTCGGAGAGATATGGCCTCAGGAAAAATCTACTGTGCTGGCCAATGGACTCACAGGGACGAAAGAACACTATGTCTGGGGATCCAGTTCTACCGTAAAGTACAGTGTGATCCTGTCTCAGTGAGCTCTGCATACCACAGGGATGACTGTCACAGGGACAATCAGAATGGACTCCAAGCAGCTATGCCTGGTGGGCTCAGGCTACAGCTCCATGCCACAAGCCCCCTGAGGAAGCTCTAACAACACAGGCTCTAGCAGGAGAAACCATGCTAATAAGAACGGCTGCAGAACAGGCAGCCAAGGCCTGGGAAAGGGGGAAGGGCAGAATGGCAGATAGGAAAAGGGGGGAGGGGAAGAGGCGGCCGGAAAGAGGAAAGGGCCAAGCTGGCCGAGATCAGCAGGGCAGCAAGGCCCAGCAGTGGCCACCCTGCTTCCTGGCAGCCGCTGTCTGTGACCTCATGGACAGGGGCGTGGGGATGAAGCAGCAGGGGGAGTGGGGCACACAAGACACTGGAGTCTTTGTTTATTTGATTAGAAAGGAAAAAAAGGCAGCCTCAGGACCAGACAGCCAGGGTCACGTGACCTCCTGGCCAGCTAGAGGCCACAAGGAAGTTGGGGAACACCCAGGGCGATGGGAAAAGCAGGCAAAGGAGGAGGATGTGCGCGGCCTCTGGGGAGCCCCACTCTAGTGCGGAATGATGAGGGTCAAGGGCCCTTGAGCAGGAGTCTGGTTGTATCTTCGTCTCCACAGCTAGCACTGCTGGCTCCAGTCCATCTCCCAAACTGTCCTGTTCCCATCCCCCAGAACCAGCCTCAACTCTTGGAAGGGTCATGGGTGGAGGAAGGCTGTTACCACAGAAGCTGAGAAGCTGCTGTATGGATGGACGGGCTCCTCTGAAGGGGTCCTACTGCTGGGTGACCCACCTAGCGCACAGCACTGGCTGAGTCCCAGAGCTAGCAAAGCAGGTGACAAGAGACAAAACCTCCTGTCACCCCACATCCACAGAAGACACGCACACAGTGGTCCTGACATGGCTAAGTGGTATCCGCGCATAAGGAAGTGCACATGCATGGACAGACAAAGGTGCCGACCTGTGTGTACTTTGCACCTCTCAAACAGCGCATACTCTGCTCAGGGGGACAGCAGGACTCCAGGACAAGAAAGGGCTTACAGGGCCTGAAAGACCATTCTCTCGTCCTCAAAGTACCCTAAACAACAGGCATTAAATGAACCTTGACCTTCAGGACACCATAAACCTGACCCCGTCGGACTAATGAGGAACATACACTGTGATCTCTTCCAGCATCCAGGACCGCAGGGACCACATAAGTGTAAGTCTCAGCCCCCCTAACGGAACCTGCAGGCTGCCTTCTTCCCCAGGCTAATCCGCTAATCTTCCCAGGCAGATCCTAGACTGCAGGGAGGCAGCCTTCAGGATTGCCCCTACCTTGTTCCCGGGGGATCGCAGCAGGATAAAGCGGTGCTTCCGCTTGAGGACAGCACGAAGGTCCTGGCACTTCTCATAGCTTCCGAGTTCCACCGTCTCGACACACTTCTGCTCGTCCTGGAGAGGGAGAGAGGCCAAAGAAGTGAGATGAGAGCCAGATCCTCTAAGAACCTCAGTCACTGAATATACATTCCAGACTCTGATCCTACTGGGCAGGAACACCGCATCACCAAGATGTGGTATTCAAACCCTGGCAAGGAAACAGTGCCAGCGTGTGCCGGCGGCATGTGTCCATAATGTTCACCATGCAGATTAAGAAGCGAATACAGCCAAGTGGTGGTGGTGCATGTCTTTAATCCCAGCTCTTGGGAGGCAGAGGCAGGCGGATCTCTGTGAATTCGAGGCCAGCCTGAGTTCCAGGACAACCAGGACTGTTTCATAGAGAAACCTTGTCTCGAATAAACAAAACACACACACAAAGACACACACACAAAGAAGTGGGATACACAGTAAGGGGTGGGTTTGTGCCTAAAGATTGGGTCTAGTGGTCCTAAAACAAGAGGCAAAAATAGGAGAAGCTAGGGAGGTTTATAAAAGGATGCCTGGGGGTCTGTGCAGGCACAGTGGCCAGACAGAGGTGTGTGGAAGAGGCAGCCTAGAAGAATCCAAGATGACATGAAACACGGTGAGAGCTTCCCATGAAGGACGTGAACCAGACACAGGCTCACATGCCCTGACTTCAGCCCAGTGATCCCGAGCCAACCGGCTCCCTCACTTAACATCTTCCCATTCTGATTGCTAGCTAGAGGGAGGGGCCTCTCACCCCAGGCTGAAGGCCGGACACAACAGAGAGGGCAGGAGCGTAAGAACACCCCCCCTCCACCAGCCTGTCACTCCAGCCTCATCACTATGTAGGCCAGTGGCCAAACGGTGCCTGGTCTCCGCCACTGGCTAGTTGTCCTGTGACTGACTCATCCAAGACGGAAACATTCCATCCTTCCGTGGAGCAGCTCAAGCAGGGAGGTAAACAGCAGCAACAACAACAAAAAGGCTTCAAGATCTCCCTGAAGATGACTGGGTTCAGAAAGCCCCTTCCCTACCATGGTAAGCAGAGCACAGCTGCAAAGACCCAGATAAACTGAGCTGCAAAGAAAAGCTACCTGGGAGAGGTTTGGGCCAACTGAGGCACCCAAGGAGGACGCTCTCCAACCCGCTATGCTGCTGCTGTGCAGTGGGCTCCAAGTTCCCAGCTTTTGTGATCGGTCGCCCATGCTGGGTGGGCTGTGGTGATGCAGCTGTCTCTGAGTCATTTCTGCTCCTGTAAGTGACCTCGAACCCATGTTCCTGTAAGTAACTCCAATAAAACTCATTGGTTCACCAAGCTGGACTTTGGTGGTGTCCGTATTTTGTCTGCCATGGGTTTCCTATCTGGGATGACTGGATGACTGCTTTGTTTCCCCAGGAAAATTTTTGTCACACAACACCAGGCTGCCTTCTAAACTTCCTGCCTGCCAGCCCTGACACTAGAAGATTTTGGGCATACGATACCTCTCGGGCAAGCTGCCTAGAATAAGCTCTCCCTTAATAGTGGTTAACTGGTTCCTCTTCTGGAGGTGACCCAGTTGGTACAACTTCCTGGGGAGCAGAAGCAGGCCGTGTGTGTATGTATACACACACACACACACACACACAGAGAGAGAGAGAGAGAGAGAGAGAGAGAGAGAGAGAGAGAGAAAGAGAGAGAGAGAGAGAGAGAAAGAGAGAGAGAGAGAGCGAGCGAGCTCTGGATGGCCTTGAATTTGCTGTGTAGACCAGGCTGGCTTCAAACTCACAGAGATCCACCTGCCTCTGCCTCCTAAGTAATGGGATTGAAAGTGTACACCATACACATCCACACATGGCTGCATGAATGATGCTTCTTCTTCTTCTTCTTTTTTTCTTTTGATACAAGGTTTCTCTGTACAGCCCTGGCTGTCCTGGAGCTCAATTTGTAGACCACGCTGACTTCAAACTCACAGAGACCCACCTGCCTTTGCCTCCCAAGTGCTGGGATTAGAGGCGTGCGCCACCACCAGCCAGCTTGATTGATGCTTCTTTGGTTGCTCTGTGCCAGTGGCCCTCCAGTGTAGGATCTAGTGCTCTCAGCCTCTGAGGGCCCCATCACTTAGTGCCAGGGTCATGCAAGCAACTACAAAAGCACTGACCAACGCGTCCAATGCCACTTGATAACTTGCTAGAGATGCAGCTTTGTGGGTACCTTCTGATCCAATCATAAACTTGGAAAGCATGGGCTGAAAATGTGAATTTGTTTGTGTGTTTGTTTTTTTTGTTTTTTCAAGACAGGGTTTCTCTGTATAGCCCTGGATGTCCTGGAACTTGCTCTGCAGACCAGGCTGGCCTCAAACTCACAAAGATCCACTTGCCTCTGCTTCCCAAGTGCTGGGGATAATGTGAATTTTAACCATCACTCCAGGTGACCCTGGTGTAAGCAAACCCCTGAGAACTCTTTCTTTATGCCAGACATATTCAGTCTCAGCAGCCTTGAGGCTTTTAATAACGTCCAAATCTGCTAAAGGCACTGCACACTTTGGCCACAGGACAGAGAAATCATGGAACTAAGCAGGAGGCTGCCTCCCAGCTGGCTAGTTTCCATTGTGCTGGAAGGTGTTATGCAGACTGCTGGGAGAAAACGGTCATCAATGGTCTTTCCCAGCTAGAAACCTGCAAGTGACAAATCCATCAGTCTGGCAAGATGCACTCGTTGGTGCAACAGAGTCACAACTGCTACGGGTACAGCCAGCTTCTCTCTGACCAGATCTGAGGCCTGCCCTACAGAAGAGAATTCTTGGCTGCTATTATTAACATATCGTGCTCTAGAGAGGTGGCTCAGAGGTTAAGAGCAATTGTTGCTCTTGCAGTTGCTTGAGTTCAGTTCCTAGCATCCACATGGTGTTTCATAACTATCCATAATTCCAGGGAGGCTATGACCTCCAAAGACACCAGGCATGACTGTGGTGCACATATACACATGTAGGCAAAACATCCAAGCACATGAAATAAAATTAACTTCTCTCTCTCTCTCTCTCTCTTCTCTCTCTCTCTCTTTCTCTCTCTCTCTCTCTCTCTCTCTTGAGACAGGGTTTCTCTGTGCAGCCCTAACTGTCCTAGAATCTCACTCTGTAGACCAGGCTGGCCCCAAACTCACAGATCCTCCTGCCTCTGCCTCCAAAGTGCTAGAACTAAAGGCATGCGCCACTGCCGCCTCACAAAATAAATCTTAAAACAATAACAACAAAAAATAAAATAGAATAGAATAAAAAATACCTGGTCAAAGACCATGTTGGAGAGGTCCGAGCTGGGAACTTACTACTATTGCTTCCCTAATGCCTTTTAAATATATGTTTATAATCCACAGATTAGTGCTGCTCTCAGCCTTGGCCGGAGAATTTCTGTTTACACCGACGAACTCTAATGCAGAGAGTCAAAACTGATCAAAGTGTTTCAAGAATGACTAACTGTTGAGTGCTCAACCCTAAACAGGACATCTCCATCAATCCCTTTAAGGAGCAGAGAGCATCATGGAAATGGGGGTGGAAAGAATGTGAGAGCCAGAGGGTAGGGAGGAGAGCTGTGGAACACTGTCTCCTGGACACGTCCGACTGCTGCAACCATCCGTTCACAGCAGCAGTGGCTACCTTTATAAGACTCCACCAACATTCTGTCATGGGTGGGGAGGGGAGCATGAGCCCCCACTCAGCCCTGAGGGGCTAGGGCAGCCAGCCAATGATTGCCGAGAAAGAAGTCATTTTCCTGGTGCTGTAATCATTGTTAACATACCCTTGCTTAAGTAAATGACCCTCTACTTATGACCATGTAAGTAACCCTAGTTAAATGCAGTGGGGACACACATACACACACACACAAATATTGGGTATGGTGGTGGCATATATAATAAATTTTATATATATATATATATATATATATATATATATATATATGCATGTATACACACATAAACACACACATTAGCAAGATGGCTAAGTAGGTGTACTGGCTGGTTTTGTGTGTCAACTTGACACAAACTAGAGTCATCAGAGAGGAGGGAGCCTCAGTTGGGGAAATGCTTCCATGAGGTGCAGCTCTAAGGCATTTTCTCATTTAGTGATCAATGGGGTTGGACCCAGCCCATGATGGGTGGTGCTGTCCCTTGGCTGCTGGTCCTGGGTTCTATAAGAAAGCAGGCTGAGCAAGCTATGGGAAGTCAGCCAGTAAGCAGCTCCCTTCCACAGCTTCTACATCAGCTACTGCCTCCAGGTTCCTGCCCTGTTTGAGTTCTTGGCCTGACTTCCTTCAGCAATGCTGAAGTTGTAAGCCTGATTAAAACCCTTTCCTCCCCAACTTGCTTTTTGGTCATGGTGTTTCGGTGCAGCAATAGAAACCCTGACTAAGATGGTAGATGAATGTTCTTACTGCCAGACTTGATACCCTTGGGTTCAATCCGCACAACCCACATGGTGAAAGGAGAGAAGTGATCCCTCAAGCTGTCCTCTGATTGCCACAATAACAGTATGGCATATGTCCCTCCACCCCACAAGTAAGTAAGTAAGTAAATGAAAAGGCAAAAGGACTTTTATAAGAACTCCCACACCCAGATAACATCTCAGATCAATGTTAGGGTGAGGCTCAGACCTCAGTACTTTTCTTTTTTGGTTTTTCAAGACAGGGTTTCTCTGTGTAATAGCCCTGGAACTAGCTCTTGTAGACCAGGCTGGCCTCGAACTCACAGAGATCCTCCTGCCTCTACCTCCCAAGTGCTACGATTAAAGGCGTGCACCACCACCACCCTCCTGAGCTCAGTACTTTTCAAGGCAGATGGCTGACATGTTTTCTCCTCAGCCTCTCAGGGGGAAAGGGACTCGATGGCCAGGGCAGCCTGCTCACTCTGCCCAGGTGCCATCACGTGTCAGTTCCCATTTTTGCTTCCACGTATCTCTTTTTAAGCCCTGATCCTTAATCCTGTTCAGGTTCTTCCATGAAACATACAGACCAGAAAAATTCTTCTATTCTGGGAATCTCCCCTAATAACCTGCCATGATCCCCCAAATCTTAGTGCTCTTGTGTCTTACCCACTACGGGGGGCATGCAGACACCTATAAAGCACTTGCCAATTACCAGGCTAGATGCCGGGAAGGCTGAGCCTCGACACAGAAGATCACAGTTCTATCTCACCCTTGCCCGGCTCTCTCCTAGTCTCTGTGTGTCTGTCTCCATATGCTCCCCAGCGGCACTCCACATGAAGTAGCTCTCAAGAGAGGAATACAGGGGTTGTAGCTATAGCTCTATAGCTCTATAGGGTGCTAGAACACTTGTCTCGAATATACAAAGTCCTGGGTTTCTTCCTCAGCACCACACAACCCAGGCATGGTGGCTGTCTTAATGGCTGACAACAACTGGATGGGGGATCACTTCCCTCCTTCTACCATGTGGGTTCTGGGATCGAGTTTAGGTCATCAGTCTTGGCAGTTGTCTTAGTTTATCATGTGATAGACACCATGACCCAAAGCAGCTTGGGGAAGAAAGGGTTCGTTTCATTTTACAACCTGAAGTCCATCATCCAGGGAAGCCAGAGCAGGAACAGGAATCTGGGTGTAGGAGCTAATGGAAGCCATGGGGGATGCTGCTTACTGGCTTGCTCCCCATGTCTTGCTCAGCCTGCACCCAGGACCACTAGTTCAAGGGTGGCACCACCCACATCAATAATCAAGCAAGAAAATGAAGCCCAGGCTTGCCCATAGGCTAGTGTGGTGGTGGCACTTTCTCAGCAGAGAGTCCCTCTTTCAAAGTGACTCCAGCCTGTCAGGTTGACACAATTAGCCAGCACTGTGCACACACCTATAATCCCAGCACGTGGGAGGTAGAGGCGAGAGAATTAAAAATTCAAGGACGTCCTTAGCTAGTTCAAGGCCAGGTGGGGACACACAAAACCCTGCCTTTAAAAACACGCACACACACACACACACACACACACACACACACACACACACACAGTACCAGTTTGCCAGAATGGTGCCCAGCCTAGAGTAAGACCTTGGCATCCAGGAGAAGCTCCAGCAACAGTTCCACACCCACACCTACCCAGGCTCCCCAGTGGACAACTACCAGCCCAAATGCACCTTCTTCTTAGGAACAAATTCACTCTGTCTTCACTACCCAGCAACCCAAGGCTGCCTGGCTTGGGACAACTCAACACTGAAGTGCTGAATCATCCAGGGCCTTCTGCAGTTCAGAGAGGATAAAGCAGGAGGCATTGGGCGGGGGCAACAGTTTTGGAACATCAGCCTCTGACAGCAGAGAAGCAGCCAAGAGCCGTCTGCACTCGCCTAGTTCCTTACATCAGAAAGAGGAATTGAACTAATAAGCATTTCTCAATTCCTTCTCCTGAGCCAAGCTCCATCCCTGGGTGCTAAGTTCTTGGAATCACATTTAAGTTTTTCATAGTGATTTTTTTTTAAAGTATGATTTGGATTTTTCATCTTTAGGGAATGTGAAACCCTGCCCACTTCCCAGCCGTGGCCAGATGTGGAAAGGCAGTCTAGGACAAGTATGGCAGCGCCTGACAGGCTGACAGCCGAGAGCCTGTCACTCAGCTCCTGTAGCAGCTGGCACTGGAAAAAAACATATCAACCATCCTCCCCCCCTTTGCTTTTTCTAATAAAAATATCCCTCGTCTGCCACTTTTCCAGCTGTGGCACATCCTAATTTGGTAAGTGCGGAACATCTGGGAGGCTGTCTGCTCATCGTCATTCCTTACTGTTCTCCCACGGCTTCTCCGTCATCCAGACTCCTGGGGACTCAGCAGGACAGGCAAGGTGTTTTTCTTTTCTTTCTTTCTTTTTTTGGAGACAGGGTTTCCTCTGTGTAGCTCTGGAATTCATTCTATAGACCAGCCTGGCCTCAGACTCACAGAGATGGCCTGCCTCTGCCTCCCAAGTGCTGGGACTAAAGGCGTGTGGCTGACAGGAAGCTTTTCAAAGGCAACTCCTTGAAACCCTTAAATCAGGCTACTTGTGCTTTCGTGGCCCAGGGCACTTAGGGATGTGTGAAGCTGCCTTAAAGGGGCTGAGAGAGGCTGATAGGTAAGATGCAGGCTCCTTCTATCCTCACAGAATCTATGAAGACATACAGTATTGCCCCGTTCTCAGCCAATGGGCCTCTGTAGCCTCAACCCCAGCACCAAGAAGAATAGCCACCTTTCCTTCGAGTCTTTGTGTAACAGCATCTCTGATGCTTCCTTAACTAATAACTTTAGCTTTTGTTTTGAGACAGGGTCTCACACTATAATCTAGACTAGCCTCGAATTTAGGGCAGTCCTCCTGCTTTGCTGGGATTATAGGTGTAAGGCTGTCAATTTTAGTATTCTTAGGTTGTCCAAATCTTAAGCCTAGGGAAGGGGATGAGAATCTGAGTGTAACCCCAGCATTTCTGCCATGAGATGGGAAACAGAGACAGGAAAATCCCCAGGAGGCTGTGGTCCAGCTAGCCTTGAGTATGCAGGTGAGACTGACACCCAAGGCCGTCTTCCGACTTCCATACGTGTGCCTTGACAATACAAGCCCTCACAGATGAACACTTACGCATACACACGTGTTGTGCACATGTAAATGTATAAAGAAATAAATGTTTAATAAGTATCAACTGTTAGCTCAGTGTTAGAGGAGAGGAAGGCTGCAGCTTTTCAGCCTTTGGAACAGCCAGGCAGTTACAAAGTCGGAAAAAGGACTCCAAGCCTCAGTGCAAGTTTCTAGTACCAATTCCAACTGGAAAGTCCTTCAGGCGACATCTGCTGTTGGAGGTGGCAAGGAGTATTTAACATTTTATTTGTGTGTCCTTTCGTTTGTTGTTTTTGAGACAGGGTCTCTCTATGTTGTCCTGGCTGTCCTGGAACTCTCTATATAGACCAGGCTGGTCTCCAACTCACAGATAAACCCCCGACTCTGTGAGTGCCGGGATTAAAGGTGTTCATTATCACTCCTGTCATTTATTTAACATTTTAAAGTTTTTCATCTGGATGGTGGTGGTGCATACTTTTAATCCCAGCACTCAGGAGGAAGAGGCAGGTGGATCTCTATGAGTTTGAGGCCAGCACTCAGAAGGCAGAAGCAGGTAGATCTCTGTGAAGCCAGCTTGGTCTACATAGAGTGTTCCAAGCCAGCTGAAAGGTGAGAGCTTTTTTTCAATCAATCAATCAATCAATCAATCAATAAATGGGGGCCTGGTTAGATGGCTCAGCAGTTAACACTGCTGGTCTCACAAAGGACCCAGTTTTGGTTTCCAGCACCTATATCACAAGCATCTGCAATTTCAGTTCCAGAGAATCTGAAGGCCTCTTCTGGCCTCCCTCAGCACTATACACAAGGTACACATATACACATAAATGAAAATGCTCATACACATAAAATAAAAATTATATTTTAAAAAAGGTATGAAGATTAAGGGTTAATTAACATTTTTCGTGCTGATGCTAACTGAAACATCTTCAGTTTTTTTTTTTTAAATGCTTCCATGAAACTTTGGCCAAACCCAGGAAGCTCCAGTGTATAGGTAGGTAGTTGAGGAGACTCAGTACAACATGCACAGAGGGCCATAGACTCCTCACTGAGGAACTCTTAAGTTTGAAGTATCACCCCCATAATACACACAGAGACCCAAAGGAGATAAGAGGCTTGCCCAGGGTGACACAGCATGTCAGCGGTGAAGTGGGGTCAGTGTGGTAGCACACGCCTCTAACTCTAGCACCCGGAGGCAGAGGCAGATGCATTTCTATGACTTTTTAGCCAGCCAGCCTGGTCTACATAGTAAGACCCTGTCTCAAACCATACACAAAAGCAACCAAATCAAAAAGCAAAACGGAACGAGTCTTCCTGCCCCAGTCCTCCTGCTGGCCTGCCTGCCTCGCTCTGTCTCTGCTGTCAGGGTCAAGCAAGCCCTCACCTCATTCTCGTAGACCAGCAGCTGGGCTTGGCAGAGGAGCAGGTAGCGGTCCTTCCATAAACCCAGGAGCCCTCCACTGCTCTTCTTGATCCAGCCAGCCTTGTCTGCTGTCCGTGCTCCACGAGGCTTCTCGCTCCCCTCCTTCATACTCTGTAAGACAGTACCAGGACACATCATGAGGGCTGCTGCCATGAAGCCATATGGTCCACAGATCACACGAGGGATGCATCTAGTGTTGGGTACATCATCCTACGTGAAGTTTCCCCAGGTACCCTCCAGGCAGATATCAGAAAAAACAGCAGTAGTAATAGCCACCACCTTACACGTGAGCCCTGTACTGTGCACAGCACACATAGCTTCACCTAACTTTTATAACTGCTCTCCACTATGGTAGCACTGTTAGCCACAGTCGCAGCAAACTGAAATTCAGATCATGTGGCTAGAGAGACAGAACCAAAATCCAAAGCAGGTCTCTCTGAACTCATTTTCTTCCCACTCCTGTGCCTCCCCGTGTTTATTAAACTGGTGAACAAATGTATTGAGCCCATATAATGTCACATGTCACTGGGGAGAGAACAAAAGCGATACAACCTTCCTTCATCGAGTACACAGTGGGGAGATGGAGTAGCTAAACAAGCAAATGCCCAGGAACGCACACATTAACTAACGTAAAGTGCTATGAAGGGGCAGGGGAGATGGCTCAGCGAGTAAAGGTGCTTGTCACCAAACCTAGTGACCCGAGTTCGATCCCCAGAACCCACATGGTGGAAAAAGAGAACCAACTCTCACAAGCTTCTGATTTTCATATGTGTGCACACATGCACACACACACAAACAAACACACACACACATGCAATAAAAAAGAAAAGGGGACCTGGTGGCCCAGAAAAGGCACTTTCTCTCTCTCTCTCTCTCTCTCTCTCTATATATATATATATATATATATATATATATATATATATATACACCTTCCTGACTTTCTAGAGACTCCAATACAGCTTCCTGCCCTGAAGCAGGGGACTCCTTAGTTCTCATGCCCATGCCAGGGTAGGACTGTGGGGTGGCTACTTCCTCTGATGAAGACTCTGGGAACTGTCTCTTTGGTCACAGGCTGGTGTTAAGTTCAAATCATTCTGCAGAAGGCAGCTACACGGTGGTCTCAGGGTCTGTCATGTCCCATTCACAACCTGCTCAGATGGCTGGGTGCTAGGTACACAGGAACACAGACGTCTACATGTCTACCCGATGGGGTCAGATTCACCCCTGAGTCCTAAGCACTTAATCTTGTTCACTGATACCTAATGAACGCCAAAGTTCTATTTGTAAAAATAAAAAGTTAAATATACCCTATTTCTAACCACTGTGCTAAACTTAGAGGTTCCTGGGGTACTGAGTGTGCGGAAGGGTGGCAGAGAAAGGATCAAGAGTGCATCAGAATCGAGAGGACACTAGAAGGAAATCAACACCGACTAATTTCAACTACGTTATAATTTACATAGAGCTCCAAAAAGGGCCCCATTGAAAGGCACGCCTCTCCCCAGAGATACCCTGTGGCCACAGATGTCTTTGGAAGGACAAGCCCAGGCAGATAGAAGTGTGGTGAGCTGTCAGGAGCTGGGCAGGGCCTGGCTTCTGTGTTATGGTAGAGAGGCTCCAGCCAGTGTCTCTCTATAGCCCTTCTTCCTCCTGGAACTTCACACATTCTGCTTCACTGGGAGTGTGGGCTTTGGAGCCCACGTCCCACAGACCAGAAAGAGATGGTGCAAATGATGCCACTTCTTTCTGTCTTGGTTTGCTCACCTGTATAAATAGGAATCCATTTGTTTTTCTGCCTTTTGACTAAGACAATATAGAAATAGGATTCCATGAAGACAGGGGACTTTGTTTTGTTTACTGCTATTCTTGGACAGTGCCTGGCACACAGTTAAGGGCTGGATACACGTTTGTTACTAAATGAGAACAAGACACACGTCCTAGCATACCTAGCTTAGTAACTGGCAGCTGTCACTCTTGTTACTGTTGTTCTGCCCATCATTGCCAGCCCCCCCTTTGAGTCTCAGGGACCTCTCTCTAGATCTGGTTCTCAATTTAGAACGAGAGCTGAGCTATATCTGCCCGTCCCACACCTCCAGGAATGTGGGATATCCCTTCTGGTCTTCTAACTTGGTGCATGGCAAGAGAAATGGGGAAGTGGGCTGGTTCCAAATGATCTTCCCGGATGCAGGAATGAGGAAGTGAGGAGGCTGACAGTAGCCACCCTGCCAGGGGAAGGAGGAAGAGACTTCAGGGCCCCTGGACAATAATGGGAGATTCTCCCATTCAGTCGTGTACCTAATTCTCCTGAGCCACTGCTCACAGCATGCTCTCACAGGCTGGGGGATGTCCAGGGACCTAAGTCTCTCAGTGACCCAGGCAGGCTGCCACAAGGTCCAGGACTGGAAGAGAAGAACTACAGAGTAAGAATCCCTATGTGCGCGCGTGCGAGTGCATACATACACACACACACACACACACACACACACCTATCAGCATGCCAGCACTGCTGGCCACCCCCTGGGCCCTGAGCTCTCAGTGTCTCCTGAACAAGGTTGTGGGGACTGTGGAAGCTGCTGTTCACATCGCCCATCTCTGAGTTCCAAGTTTTTCTTCTGATTCCAGAAAGCACAACCCACCACCCACCCTTTAAAAGAGATCTCACGCCCCTGCGATCTCCTCTATCTGCCTCCTCCACTGTCTGCTACGTAAAACTTCACATCAGCTGGAAGCTCTGGGGGCCAAGGTTAGAACCTAGGCCTTGATCGCTGTCACCTCCGGACAGGGAATGCACACCAGAGTGCCTAGTGAATACCAAGACTAGATGAGCTAGGGAAACCAGTCCAAGGTCTGTAAGGTGGGTGGGGACCAGTATGGACTGGGCAGGAGGGTTAGAGGAGGTTAGGGAAGGGAACAGTTGAGGGTTTGCAGATGGTGTGAGGCAAAGCCCAGCCATCCTATGGGAGGCCTGGCTAAATGCCAGGGTCCTACTTGCCTCCACCCTCCACCAAACTCCCTCCCTGCCTCCTTAGACCTCCTCCCACCAGGGGTCTGGCTACACCCCAGTAAGTTTTAACATGGCGCCCCTCCCCTTGGCAGGGTTCACAGGGGAGGTTTTGTCTTGTTCAGCCCAGTCTCTCCAGCTCCTCTCTTCTTACTGACCAGCTGACCACTGTTTCTGTTCCCCTCCCAGCCATCCTCAGCAGGCCTTCTCCTGCCTCCTGCAAGCAACTCCTGACGTACCCCATGGCATCAGTCTGGCTTCCTAGGCCTGACATGGGAGTGTATCAGGGCTATTCTTTCAAAAAACAAGGAGGAAAAAGAGACAGGTTGCCTTGACCCTGAGTAGGAAAGAGAGACACAAAAAGCTACAGTAAAGTTACAACAGACAGAAGAAACCTTGTTGGCAAGGCACATGGCAGGCAGCTTGTGATGACTTCTGCCCTTCAACTAAACCCAACTCCAAGACAAGCATGATGGCAAATGTCTTTAAGCCCAGCACTTAGGACGCAAAGACAGGAGGATCTCTGAGTTCAAGACCCACCTGGTCTGTATAGGGAATACTATTCCACCAACCAGGACAACATAGTGAGACCCTGTCTCAAATTAAAAAAAAAAAAATTAAGGATCTATTCTATCAGAGGCCTAGAATGAAGCATATGGAAAAAGGAAAAAATACAGCTCCTGCCCTAAGGAATCATCTAGGTTAATAAAGACAGTACTCAGCCTGCCTGAGGGAAGCTTTAGGAGGGTGGGTGCTTGAGGGAGCACTTGTCTGTGGGGAAACTCATGGCACTTACCCTGAGGAAGTCCCCCATCCTAGCCTTCTGCTGCAACAACGGCCTGGGATTGATACAGAAATTCTTTCAGAAGGCAGGTGTACGAGGAGAAGTAAAGGCAAAAAGGCATCAAAGACTTCCCACTCTTGTGGCTCTAGAGACGTGGCTCAGAATTAAGAGCACTGGCTGCTCTTCCAGAAGACCTGGGTTCGATTCCTGACACCTACATGGCAGCTCACAACCATCTTTAACTCCAGTTTCAGGATATCTGCTGTCCTCTTACGGCCTCCAGAGGCACCAGCCATGCAAGTGGTTCACAGACACGTATGCATGCAAAACACCCATGCATATAAAATAAAAAAATTAAAAAAAAAAAACACTTCATATTCTCAATCCTTTTGCTACAGAAGAGACAAAGCAAAGCAGAAAGCGCGAGAGGCTGGCCCAGTGTCATAAAACCTGCGACAAGATGCTGCCACGCCTGTCTCAGTAATGGTCAGGGCAAGTGGCAGTCTGGAGCCAGGAAAGGGGTGGTTTGGGATGGGCAATGGGGCAGAACCAGGGAGGCCGAGAGCTAAGGTTTCTAACCCTACTCCAGGGCCAGCAGCAACACTGATATTTTTGGTTTTCAAAGCTTTTGCACACACATTATCAGATTTCTGGATTCCCCCTCCCTTCTCATTTTACAGTTGAAGACCAGAAAGCACAGATAGACAGATGCTAGAGCCCAACCCAGCACTTCTCCAAGCCTCAGCCTGACAGGGATCACCCACCATCCTACATCCTACACAGAGGCCAAGGGAGGCTTGGCCCCAGGGTCCTGGGACCCAGGAAGTGCAAAGCACAAGGGCGGGAAGCGGCTATGTGAAGGTGAGGTGGAAAGGTGGCCTGAGGGTCAGTGGCCATAATTAAGAGGTATTTTAGAGAAGGATGGACACAGGCATGGGGAAACAAGGGAAAACTGTTAAGCAGGAAGCAACAAGAGTTAGGGGTACCAAAGAGAGGACAGGCACAGAGAGCTCCCAACTCTGTGGATGAGACATGGGGTTGGACGGGGAAATAGCATGGGCAAGATGTTAATGAGCCGGATAGTCAGGAGTTTTTGGTATCTGGAACCAGAAAGTAGCAATGGTAGCAGTTCTGAACCAGAGAGAGCACAGGGCAGTACTGAGCCCAGGAAGCCCCAGGAGGACTTCCTTCAACTGGGGACCAGAGCAGATCAGGAGATGGAGTAATCCTGACCCACACATCCTCTGGGAACAGGGGAGGGGCCTTGGACAGAGAGCACAGCCATTGCAGGAGGGGAACGGAGGGGCAGGCAGCAGCCCCACCCGTAACAGCAAGAGAAACCACAGCAAAACAGGGGCCTGCTTTTGCCCCTTACCTGGACCCACTCTGAGTGCAGGGACCACAGTCCAACCGTCAGGTCTAGGGGAGGAGGTTAGGCCCTGTGTTTTATAGAAGAGGAAACACAGACTGAGAGGGGAAGTGACTTATCTACCATCCCACACAAACTCAGGGTCCAGCCTACAGGGAACAGAGCCTTGCTGCTCCGGGAAATACGCAAGGGGACACTGACAGGAACGCAGGCAGCTGAGCTCACTGAAGGCACCCCAGCTGGCAGGGTGGCTCCGGAGGGGAAAGCTTCATCATTCTTCCCCACCCTTCAAAGGATAAGAAAGTCTTCTTTTTACTCATTTCATGAGCATGCAGCAGGTGACTGCTGTGTATTGGAACCTTGGATAACGGGAACGCTGAGAGAGCAGAGGACAGAGGAATCTCAAGGGGCATGGCTGATCCAGCCCTTGCTTCTGAGGGAGGTAGCTGACCTGACCCTTCAACTAACATCCTCAGATAGACAAGGGCAAAAGCAGTGGGGACTCTTGAGAGATTTACACATGGAAGACAAAAGCGATTTCTTCGGCCCTGCCACCAGGCTCCATTACAGTCTCATTCCTTGAGACAGTGACCTAGGACCGCTAAGAACTTTCCTCCCCTAACACACACATAAGCATAAGCAGTCTGACTCCTCAAGAGTCTTGGCAGGCAAGAAGTCAAGAAAGGGTGTAACGGGATTCAGGCACAGCAACCCAATCTACTTTCAGCAAGTCACCCAACTCCCCAGGGCCTCAGTCTCCCCTCCAATCCAATGGGAATCATGACAGGCACTGTTCCCAGTTGATGAGAAAAGCCCAAAACATAACGGACGATGCTGTCGGCGAGATGCAGGACTAGACCTCCACCCCGTCCCTACCCCATCGGTCCAGGCTCTGCCTGAAGGAAGGAAGGGAAAGAGTAGGTAGAGACCCGTGCAAGTAGAGCGGGCAGGACCCCAGGCCAGCACCCTGCTCCGTCTGGCCCAGCCCTCACCTCCTCCTCCATGGCGAGTCTGTGAGGTCCGGCCGTTTAGCCGCTTACTGCTGCCCGCGCCGCGCGGGCTCCGCTTGCTCCATCTAAGCGCAGCCGGGCGGCGGCTCGCTGTTTTCTGTCCCGCCGGCAGCCCGAGGCCCAAGAAACTTCGGGGGGCGGAGCCGGGGCCGGGGAGGGGCTTCCGGGGGCCGGGGGCGGGGCCGGGGAGGGGTGCAGCGACCCCCAGCTCAGTGGAGGAGCGTGGCCGGGTGGGGGTGCAGGGGCGGGGCCGGGGAGGATCCTGGGAGGGGCTGGTCTTGAGCTCTCGGAATGGACGGAAGAACCCGGCGGAGCTGAAGTAGCAGGAAGAGGGCGGAGAGAGGTTTCCCGGACCCAGGCAGGGAGAGGGACTGGGAGGGGGTACAGACTGGGGATATGGGGGATACGGAGGGGGAGGGGGCTTCCGGCCCAGAGGCGGAGGAGAGGGATGCGGGCGGGGTGGGGCAGAGCGGAGGCGGGGCGGGGGCGCGGCTGGCAGAGCAAGCCTGGGAGGCGGTGGGTGGTTTATCCCTTTGAGGTTGCCTAACCGAGTGGGCCCGGGTTGCGGGACTGGATCCAGCAGTTCAGAAATGAGTGCACAAAGAGGTCCTTCCTCTTTCCTTATTTTTTTTTTTTTTTGGAGTGGGGGTGGGAGGGTTTGAAACTGAGTTTCTCTGTGTAACAGTCCTGGTTGTCCTGGAACTCACTTTTTAGACCAGGCTGGCCTCGAACTCACAAAGATCCGCCGGCCTCTGCTTCGCAAGTGCTGGGATTAAAGGCGTGCGCCTCCTCTTTCCTCTCCGAAGTCGGAGTAGTGGCGATGGTTTCTAGTCTGTGGAAACTTATGGGTGAGGCCCCGGCCATGAGCTTGGGGTTTATGAGCAGAGTCGAGGGGTCTGCCTTTGCCTCTCTGAAATCCCAAACTCCCATATCGCTTCTCAACCTCGTCCAACCCCCTCTTGGTTCTCAAGTTGTCTTCATCACCCTTCCTCCTTCCAGCCCTGAACTGACCACGTTGCTGGAGAGTGGGGTGAAGGAACCAGCGGGAGAGCCTTCCAATTCTGTCATGCACTTTCATTTTATATTGGGGAAACAGGCCTGGAGGGTGACTGCTACATCCGTCAGCACGCACGCACACACACACACACACATACGAGCGTTCTTGTTCAGATGTGACCCATGCTACAGCACCTAGGATTTTGTGCGTGCGGGATGGATCAGTGGTGACCTCCTTTGACTCCAGCTGCGAGAGCCTCAGCTACGAGGCCAGTTGCTCAAGCTTCTCTTTCACTGCCCTCTGCTGGCCTTTGGGCTCCTGGGTCTTTTTCAGCTCTTCATGGAAGAGGGTGGAGCACACAGCCGCTCATTTCTAGGACTGGAGGGTGGAGAGGGTTAGTGAGATGATGTCTCATTGGTTAGGAGCACTTGCTGCTCTTCCAGAGGACCCAGGTTTGATTATCAGCACCCACACAGTGGCTCGCAACTGTCTGTAACTCCAGTGCCAGGAAGATCTAAGGCCCTCTTCTGGCCTCAGACACCTGCAGGCAAAACACTCCTACGCATAAAATAATAAATTAATTTAATTTTTTGAAGGACGAAGAAAACAATGCGCCAGTACCCCAGTGTTGAATAAAAGCTTCCTCCAAGATTGAAACATTCTGCCCTGCATGAAATTCCTTAAACAGGAAAATAAACAACTCAAAAGCAAATCCCACTTGTGCTAGGCTTTTAATTCCAGCACTCGGGAGGCAGAGGCAGGTGGATCTCTGTGAGTTCGAGGCCAGTCTGGTCTACAGAGCTAGTTCCAGGACAGCCAGAGCCACACAGAGAAACCCTGTCTCCAAACAACACTGCTTGCTGCTACTTAGAGAATGGGTTGTTGTAAGGGTGGAAATTGGGACTCCAAGTAGCTGGGAGACTGTTGTTGTAATTCAGGGTCAGGGTGATGCCTTCTAACCACAGGATGAGGAATGAGAATAGGAGGAAATTAATAGACTCTAAATACATTTTGGAGGGAGATCAAGTTTCAGTGGTAGGTGAGGAGGGCATCAAAGATAGGGTGTAGGTTTTCAACTGGAGCCCCAAATGTTAGTGCTATTTTAGTGGATGAAGGCAGGAGAAAAGCAGGTATGTTCGGGAGCAGTGGAGAAGACAAAAAAGCTCTATTCTGGAGAAAGTGAGTTTGCCATGCCTATTGGTGTTTTGCATCAAGATATATCAGAAAGCTGAGTGAAGATGGGCAAGCTCGGGTAAGATATTGGTAGTCAGCAAATGGGAATTAAGTCATTAAATTAAAGAGACAGGGACAGAGGTGTGTATGGGAGAGGGGAGAAGGGGGCAAAAGGCAGAGGTTGTAGGGGAAGGGAAGGGGAGAAGCTGTACAAAGTGAGGTCCTACTCTGTTTGGGGATTGTGTTTATGTGTGTGTGGGCTTTGCTTTTGAAATTGGGTCTCACACCCTAGCCTAGCTTCTACCTCAGTGTCTGAAGGGCGATTAGGGAGGCATGAGCCACTGTGCCTGGTTTGGGCTCTGGAACCTACAAAAATCATAAAATTAATATTCTGTACTCGTTCATCTCTTCTAATCACACTTCGCAAGCTTCGGATTTCAGAAGAGGGAAGGCAAAGACTTGGATAGAAAGGATCCTAAGGTCTCGGAGGGGTGGGGCTCTCGTTAGGATCACTTGAGCCCTTTGCTAAAGTTACAGTTGTTTCTTTAGAGCGGACTGGGACCTTGCTGTGGGAGAGAACGGGTAAAACCTGGAAAGAGTTCTACAAGAGGAAATTTTATAAGGGAGAAACCCCTCCCTTCAAGTGTGTGCCTCCAACCCTGGACTGGGGTTAACAAAAGGAAATTCAAAAGCAGCTTTGTGCCTCCCTCGAAACTGACCTCAGCCCTAGCAGCAAGTCGAGCCTCGCAGATGCGCATTACAACCCAAAGCGCAAAGAAGGAAGTTGGACCGCAGATCTGAGGGCTTCCTCTGGTTCCGCCCCTCGCGTCCGTCAATCAAGACCTAAATGACAGAACTGCCAAGCTAGGGCGGGCAGGAGGGCGAATCCAAGGAACGTTAATTCTCCACAGTGACCAAATTGAGCTCTGGGGTTTCCTTTGCTACAAGGACTCGATGTTGTTGCTTTTACAAAAACTTAGGTGGGAAAATTGTCTAACACGTTCAAATAATACCGAATAGTACCTAGAATATCCCAGAATTCCTTGCCCACGTGCTTATTTAAAAGACATTAAACTACAAGTCAGAAAACTCAGATGATTGGATTGGAGCAATGGTTTACAGAGGACCTGGGTTCCATTTAGAGCACCCACAAGGTGGCTCACAACCATCTGTAACTCTAGTTCCAGGTGATCCAAAGCCCTCTTCTGACCTCAGCAGACACATGGTACACATTCAGGCAAAACACACACACAAAATAAAATGCGTCAATCTAATAGTTAAAACAAACAAACAAACAGCCGGGCTATGGTGGCACAGGCCTTTAATCACAACTCTCAGGCAGCAAAGGCAGGAGGATCTCTCTTGAGTTCAAGGCTAGCCTGGTCTACAGAGTGAGTTCCAGGACAGCCAGGGCTGTTACACAGAGAAATCCTGTCTCAAAAACAAAATTACAGCTTCTCTTTCTCTTCCGGTCGCAGGCGCTTCGGGAGCCGCCGATTACCGTCCAGCCATGGCCAAGTCCAAGAACCACACCACACACAACCAGTCCCGGAAATGGCACAGAAATGGCATCAAGAAACCCCGGTCACAAAGATACGAATCTCTCAAGGGGGTTGACCCCAAGTTCCTGAGGAACATGCGCTTTGCCAAGAAGCACAACAAGAAAGGCCTGAAAAAGATGCAGGCAAATAATGCAAAGGCCATGAGCGCACGTGCGGAGGCCATCAAGGCCCTGGTGAAGCCCCAGGTGGTGAAGCCCAAGGTGCCAAAGGGCCCCACCCGCAAACTCACCCGTCTGGCTTTAATTGCTCACCCCAAGCTTGGGAAGAAGATTAGAAGCTACATGGCCAGGGGTCGTAGGCTCCAAAAAACAAAGCCCAAGGTTCAAGCCAAGGCAGAGGCCTCAGCTGCAGCTCAGGCTCCCAAAGGTGCCCAGGCCCCTGTGAAGGCCCCATAAAAAAGGTCGCAGTCTGCCAGTGTGAAGACAGATGGACTGGTGTGAACACCTACACAGTTTGCAGATGTTCAGGACCTTATGCTGTTTTTACAAATAAACTTGAGGCAAGTTCTGTTAAAAAAAAAAAAAAAAAAAAAAAAAAAAAAAATTACAGGGCTGGAGAGATGGCTCAAAGGTTAAGAGCATTGCCTGCTCTTCCAAAGGTCCTGAGTTCAATTCCCAGCAACCACATGGTGGCTCACAACCATCTGTAACGAGATCTGGTGCCCCCTTCTGGTCTGCAGGCACACAGACAGAATATTGTATGCATAATAAATAAATAAATTTTAAAAAACAAAATTACAATTGTGGGGATAGGGGGGTGCAAATGTGGAGGTCAAAGGACAACTTAGGAGGGTTAGTTCTCTCCTTCAACCATATCGGTCCCTGGGATCAATTCAGGTTGTCAGGTTTGGTGGCAGGTGCCCTTTCCTGATGGGTCACCGCTTGTAAAATTCTTTTAACCTTTTTGCTTTGTATTTGCTTGAATATTTTCATAATAAAATGTTTGAGTACCAGGGTCCGAGAATAAAAAATTGCAAATTTTGTTTCAGTAGGTATAAAGCTTCTATGTGAGATGGTGAAAAAGTCTTTTAAATTTTTAATATTTATTTAATTATATATGTGTATATGAGTGCTTTTCCTACATGCTTGTATGTGTACAGAGGATGTTGGATTCCTTGGAACAGAAGGTTGTGAACCAATATGTAAATGCTGAGAACAAGTACTTTTAACCTCTGAGCTGTTTCTCCAGTTCTGATGAAAAAGTTTTGAGGGTTGGAGAGATGGCTCAATAGTAAAGAACACATTTTGGTTTTTTAAATTTATTTATTATGTATATAGTGTTCTGGGATGTATGCCTACATGCCAGAAGAGGGCACCAAATCTTACTGTAGATGGCTGAGTCACAATGTGCTGGGAATTGAACTCTGAACCTCTGGAAGAGCAACTAGTAATCTTAACCTCTGAGTCATCTCTCCAGCCCCACATGTTGGTTTTGCATGGGACCTAGGTTCAATTTCCAGAACTCATATGGTGGCTCCCAACCATCAGTTTCAAGGCATTCGACAGGTACCCAAGTGGCGCATAAGCAGGCAAAACATTCATACACATAAAGAAGAAACAGGTTTTTTTTTTTTTTTTTTTGGTTTTTCGAGACAGGGTTTCTTTGTGGCTTTGGAGCCTGTCCTGGAACTAGCTCTTGTAGACCAGGCTGGCCTCGAACTCACAGAGATCCGCCTGCCTCTGCCTCCCGAGTGCTGGGATTAAAGGCGTGCGCCACCATCGCCCGGCTAAGAAGAAACAGTTTTGCATGTAGAATGTAACTGTGGTTGTACATGTTGCACCTCCTAACTAGCTGGTCATGGTGGTGGATGTATGAGGTCACATTTAGATGGACGCAGAAAGATTAGAAACCCAGTGTCATGTCCCTGCAAGTAGCAACTTTGAGAAGTTTGAGGTCAGCATTAGATACATGATATCCTGAAAGGGGGAGGGAGAGGAAAGGGGGCAGTTTAGTCTGTTAGTGGTTGTCATTATCTGTAAAATGAAGTGGCTTGACTCACCTAGAAGATCCCTTCCAGCTATGTAATTTCAAACTTCAGTGAGGGAAAAATAATAATTAAAAGTAAGTTTTCAAAACTGGATCGTGTCAGGTGCCTGTAGTCACAGTTTCTTAGGGGCCTGAAGAAGGAGGATCCATTAAACCCTGGAATTCAAGACCAGCCTACACAATGTAGCAAGACCCCAACTGAAAAAGATTAAATTCTCTGAGTGCAACAAGAGGAATAAGAATTCCCTGAAGACAAGGAGTTGCTGGCTACCCTCTTGACACCTGACACTGGTCTTAAAAGTCTTTATCCAAAAGAGATAAGTGTATAGAATAATTCTTAGGAGGGCAGAGAAGAGTGAAAAAAATTAGGGAACAAGGAAGCAGACTTGGCTGGCAAGTGAATGGCCTGCCCTGAAGACTACAATGGTTCTGTGGGTGGGTTCAGGGTGTGCAAAGGACGAGGGAGATTTTCCTTAAAGCACGTCACAGAACAGGAGAGTGTTAATAGAAGGCTTCTCAAATCTTCAGAGCCGCTTTGGGTGACAGTACGCCTCGCGCGGCGCAGCCGCAGTCACTTTCCTACCCCACCACGCCCACTCGGGTAACTCCAAAACGCGTGCTACTCCAACAAGATAAGCTCAGAGTCAAAAGCCCAGGAAAGGCCCTCCCATGGCCACGCCCCCACCCCTGATTGGCTAGAGAATTTAAAGACCAGGCCGGCGATAGGGTGATTTTTCTATTTCTAGTATTTGAATGTTCTCAGTACTGTAGCTTTGCTGCCGGCCGGTTCTGATCGGCTTTTTCCTCCGAAAGCTACAAGTGAGTTGGATCCCTGAGGTAGGAGGCAAAGAACGTGATTATTTTAGGAATTCCCTCCGGGTAAGGTACAGATGAGTGGGTCGGACGGGGAGACAATGGATTGCTGGGTCCGGAGGTTTCATAAATTCCCAAGCTAAGAATTCATCCTTTCCGAAGCACGGGAATCATTCTGACCCTGATACTTACTAATTGGTGTATGAAGGGGATGTGCCTGTCTCAGCCTGTTTCCACCTTCAGCCAGTTTCCTTCCCATCGCCCTGCTTCCTTTACGAAGGTCCGGTAGTGACCTGCGTAGGACTCTTCAAACAGGCTTCCTTTCTGAGCAGGAATCACTTTATGATGTGGTCACTGCAGGATAACAGAGGCTTGCCAGCCCTACGTGCATTTGATGTCGCCTTCCACTGCCCCGAGAACTGCAGCAGAGGACATTTCTAGAGTGTTTTCACCTCGCTCCTGAGTGCTTGTAGTATCTTGGTGGCTCCTTCTGTTACCAGTGACAACCTATTCACCCTAAGTATTCTGGACAGGTTTTTTTTGTTTTTTTAAGTTACGGCGTCCATACCACCTATAACATCCCGATTTTCCGTGTGCTCCGGTCTCCGCAAGCCTACAGAGGCAGTGGAGATGCTTTCTAGCACCCAGGCGGCCACCGGTGAATGTGACGACGCGGAGCTGCGGTGCCGGGTGGCTGTGGAGGAGCTGAGTCCTGGAGGGCAGCCTCGCAAGCGCCAGGCCCTGCGCACTGCCGAGCTGAGCCTAGGCCGAAACGAACGCCGAGAGTTAATGCTGCGACTGCAGGCGCCGGGACCTGCGGGGCGGCCACGCTGCTTCCCGCTGCGGGCCGTGCGCCTCTTCACCCGCTTCGCTGCTGCCGGGCGCAGCACGCTGAGGCTCCCCGCCGATGGCGCCCCCCGCGCTGGCTCAGTGCAGCTGCTGCTCTCCGACTGTCCCCCGGAGCGTTTGCGCCGCTTCCTGCGCACGCTGCGCCTGAAGCTGGAGGCGGCCCCGGGACCAGGACCTGCCTCTGCCCGCGAGCAGCTGCTCGGCCCGAGGCCCCGAGACTTTGTCACTATCAGTCCAGTGCAACCGGAGGAACTGCGGAGTGCTGTGGCCAACCGGGCTCCAGAATCGGCATTGGAGAAGCGATCAACGGAATCAAAGCCTAGTACGGTGAGGACCAGAAAGGGAGTCGGTGTGCTACTGTTGAGATAGAAGAGACCCAGGAGGCCCAAGGTTGGGGGAAGATGGTGTATTAAGGGGACCGCTGGTGATCTGAAATGCCAATCGTACATCTGAGTATGATGACAGGGACGTGGAAATCGTCCATGCTTCCCCGCCAGTAATTCCCGAGATTGGGATAAATTGAGAACTGGAAACTGTGGTCCAGGCAGGCCACATTCAAAGAGAAAGCTGCAGAGAAGACTAGGCAAGGAAATTTAAGAAGGAAAAATGGGTATTACAGCCTCCAGAGAGAGGAACTTTCAGAGAATGGAACTGATAATAGTCCAGTCGCCATCAGGCGGGTCTGACAGAGCTTATAGATTCGATCAGAGATGGTCACCACTCTAAGATGCCTGGCACTGAATTGGCGAAAAGCCAGAGGTGGAGGCTAGTATTTGTTGGGACGAACTCCAGACGAACCAGACCTGCTCAAAAGTTCGAAGTGAAGTTAACAGCAAGGCAAAGGGCTGTCATGCAATGTAATTCATATAGACCAAGCAGCATGGCAGGAGGTTCTGAGAGAGCCCTGTTCCTCCCAGGAAGCTCCAAGATGGCCCCTGCCTGTGAAGAAGCTGAACATGCACCCCAACAAACGGAAGCTTTCTGAGGAGCAGGCAGCTGTACTGAGGATGGTCCTGAAAGGCCAGAGCATCTTCTTCACCGGGAGTGCAGGTACGCATGGGTGGAGCTGGGGAGCAGCTCTAGGGTGGCGGGGAGCAGCTCTAGGGTGGCGGGGAGCAGCAGCCAACCCTGACTCTGCCTACTGCCCAGGGACAGGAAAGTCCTATTTGCTGAAGCACATCCTGGGCTCCCTGCCCCCTACTGGCACAGTGGCCACTGCCAGCACTGGAGTGGCAGCCTGCCACATCGGGGGCACCACCCTGCACGCCTTTGCAGGTAAGTACGAGCCTATGGGAAAGGAGGAGAGATCATAGGGTTGGGGTTTCAGCAAAGACTGAAGAGTGTCCCTCGTAGGCATTGGCTCAGGCCAGGCTCCCCTGGACCAGTGTGTGGCCCTGGCTAACCGGCCGGGTGTGCGGCAGGGCTGGCTGAACTGCCAACGGTTGGTCATTGATGAGATCTCCATGGTAGAGGCAGACTTGTTTGACAAGTTGGAAGCTGTGGCCAGGTCAGTATGGACAGCAAGGGCAGTCTCTAGAGTTTGAATCTGGTAATGGTCCCAAGGAGCCTCCCCACCCAACCTCTCTAGAGCACTCTCTGCCCTTACCCAGAGCTGTCCGGCAACAGAAGAAACCATTTGGAGGGATCCAGCTCATCATCTGTGGGGACTTCCTACAGTTGCCACCAGTGACCAAAGGCTCCCAGCACCCTCGATTCTGCTTCCAGGTACTGCTCACACCCTGGCCCCTGACCTGTGCTTTTGGGGGAGTCTTCTCTGCTCCATGGCTTAACCTCTCCCCTTCCCCACTAGGCCAAGAGCTGGAGGAGGTGTGTGCCAGTGACTCTGGAGCTGACTGAGGTGTGGAGACAGGCAGATCAGACCTTCATCTCTCTGCTGCAAGCTGTGAGGCTGGGCAGGTGGGTGCTGGGAAAGGGGCCGTGGGTTGAGGAAGCGAAGATGGTTTGCTTGGGAGTGGCAGGCCTCCTGTAACCTAGACTGGTCTAGAAGTGGCTGTGTGGCCAAGGATGATCTTGAACTACTGATCCTCTAGCCTCCACCCCCTCAGTCCTAGAATTTACAGGCTGTGGTAACCACACCTGGCCCAGGGAAATGGGAGAGATGCTTCTCCTCTGGAGCAAACGGTATATACAGGAAAATAAGATTTGGATAGGACACTGGATAACTTAGGATGAAATCTAGTCAAGAATGTTATGGCATTGGGCCATAACATACAGGCTGAGGTACTATAGTGAGTTTGAGGCCAACCTGGGCTGTTTAGGGGGGACACTACCTCAAAAACAAAACAAAACAAAATGAAAAACTACGCCAAACCAAGCAACAAACCTACCACCTATACCATACCTCACATAGAAGCATAGGCTAGCAGGTTGGGGAGATGGTTCAATCAGTTAAGCACGTGCACCTGCGTTTGGAATCCGAATCCCCAGTGCCCATGTAAAAAGCTGAGGGTTGACAGCACACACCTATAAATCCCTATGCTGGGGAGGTCAGACAGGAGAATGCCTGACCTGGTGAGTAAGCTTCAGACTCAGTGAGAGACCTGTAAGCAATAAAAGAGATAAAGTGCTGGGCATAATGGCACAGGCCTTTCATCCCAGTACTCTGGAGACAGAGGTAGGCTTCTGTCATCTCGAGGCCATCCTGGTCTACAAAGGGAGTTCCAGGATGGAGAGAGCTAAATAATGAGACCCTGTCTCCGGGGGTTGAAAGAAAAAAATGGCTAAAAGTAAAACATTTACTTCCAGCCTGTGAAATGTGAGCACTCTTACACACACACACACACACACACACACACACACACGGGAGAAAAAAAAATACTCAGGCTAGCTATTTCAGCCAAGGCAGTAGGCAAGTGGCTAGAAGATTGCACCCTAAAGGCCAATCTGATGGTAGGAAAGACAGTAGTATTACAGGGTGTCAACACCAGTGTCTTGTTCCAGGCCTGCAAACCTCTGGCCCGAGCTCACTCATGATAATCCTGCTTCTTCAGGAGAGCCGTGGCTTCAGAGGTGGCTGATTCCTCTCAGGGCACACACAGGAATAGCTCCACCTGCATTCAGAGTCCAGCATCCCTATCCCCATGCCCACAGTCCACATCTGAGGGAAAAGTAGACCGGCTGGGGGTTGGATAGCAGCAGATCCTGTCCTGGTGCCCTTTTAGGGTTCCAAGGCTTTGCCTGTGCAGCAGGACCCTTCTGCCCCCACCTTTTCTGGTGTCCAGGGGATCTCTAGTCTGACAGTGCAGCCCCCACAGATGTTCAGATGAAGTGACCCGCCAGCTCAGGGCCACAGCTGCCCATAAGGTGGGAAGAGATGGAATTGTAGCCACGAGACTCTGCACCCACCAGGATGATGTGGCCCTTACCAATGAGAGGCGGCTGAAGGAGCTTCCAGGTAAACAGAAGGCTTGGGCCTGGCGAAACCAACTGGGAGGGCCATCAGAACAGGTGTGACCCCCCCACACACACACACACACATCCCCAGAAAACTGGGCCCAAGCTCTATGTGCATTTACAGGTGGAACTATGACCCAAACACCGGAGTGAGCTGATTCCAAGGTTGCAACTGAGCTGTCCCCAGCCCATCCCTGCAACCGTCTTGATCTAATACAGTTTTAGAAGCTGAGTCACAAGTCAATACTATATAACCTGTTTTCCCAATTCTCCTTTTTCAGGTGAGGTACACAGCTTTGAGGCTATAGACAGTGACCCTGAGCTATCCCGGACCCTGGATGCCCAGTGTCCCGTTAGCCGTGTCCTTCAGTTAAAGCTGGGGGCTCAGGTGAGTAAGAAACGGTGGTGGGGGCTGGATCTCTGATTATTAAGGCCCTAGCAGGGCCACTTGACAGTGATGGACCTACTGTGACCACTTTCCCCAACTTTTCTGTCTTCAGCCCCTTTTCTCTTCAACATCAAGAGCCCTGTTGAGCAACGCCACTTTGGGCAAGTCCCTTTTCCTTACTGAGTTCAGTTCCCAGGTAGAATGTCTGCCCCATGATGGTCTACAGTAGTCTACCTCACAGATGGGCAGGCTCTGAGTTCTCCTTTATGGGGATGGACAAGAATGGTAAATTTTCCTCAGTGTCCATTGGGCACCCATGGGGAAATGCAAGCATTATAGCTGAAAGAGGTGGCAGGAGCTAGTATCATTCCTCAAAATTTGTGGTCTTTTTAGCAGACATAATCCCTCTCTTTTTTTTTTTTTTCTTTTAAACAGGATAACCAAGTAGCCAAGCTGGCCTGGAACTTGTTAAAGTTGACCAGGCTGGCCTTGAACTCATAGAAATCCGCCTGTTTCTGTTCCCAAGTGCTGTCTTAAAGGTGTGCGCCACCACACCCAGCCGGGCCTAGTTCTTCTTAAAGTCCTGTGATACAGATGACCCTCCTTGCTTTACCACCTTCTTGCCAGGCGATTTGATGAAGTCGAAACTCTTTTGACACAGATAAGGTCACAATAGTTTCAGGAAAACAAGCAGCTTGTCTGAGAGGTCAGTCAGTTAGGGTTACACTAAGAATTGGGACTCAGCTGAGTGGTGGTGAAGCTTTAATCCCAGCACTCAGGAGGCAGAGGCAGATGGATCTCTTAGTTCGAAGCCAGCCTGGTCTACAGAGTGAGTGCCAGGACAGGCTCCAAAGCTACAGGGAAACCCTGTCTCAAAAAAAAAAAAAAAAAAAAAAAAAAAGAAAAGAATTGGGACTCAACTCAGTAATAACCCCCATTTTCTCTCTGAACCCTAACTGCCAGAGAGGAGTCAGGCACAGGGAGGCTCCCTCTCCATCCCTGCACTTCTTCCTCCACAGGTCATGTTGGTGAAGAACTTGTCAGTGTCTCGGGGCTTGGTGAATGGAGCCCGGGGAGTGGTAGTTGGGTTTGAGTCAGAAGGAAGAGGTCAGTGATGATGGAGGGGGGTTGTACTCCTTGGCTTTATTTCATGGCAGGACAGACCCCATAGGGTGGCTGTCTCCATGCCTTCTTCGTGTCTTCCTCAGGGCTTCCCCAGGTACGGTTCCTGTGTGGTGTCACTGAGGTCATCCGCACTGACCGCTGGACAGTACAGGTCACTGGGGGTCAGTTCCTCAGCCGGCAGCAGCTTCCCTTACGGCTGGCCTGGGCAATGTCCATCCACAAAAGCCAGGTGACTTACCCAGTGCAGGGGTGGGCAAAACAGAGCAGAGAGTGGGCGGGTAATGCTGGGACATTCTGGAATATGTCTTAAAGGTTTTAGGGGGACTGAATAGCCCTTGGATGGAATATTCCAGTTCAGAAGCAAAATAAATCTACCAGTCTTCCTTCCTTTTCCCTTCTTTCCGTGGGCTCTCATGTAGCCCAGGGTAGCCTCAAACTCATTATGTAACTGTAGAGGGCCTTGAACTTCTGATCTTCCTCCCTCAGTCTCCTGAAAGCTGGTTTGACAAGTATGCACCCCGCCATGCCTACTTTATGTGGGTGCTGGGGGTGGAACCCAGGCCTTCATGCCGACTAGGCATGACATCAGCTGAGTCACACCCCCAGCCCTAAACTTCTCTTTAGTGCACTTCTTAGTACATTCTTCTCCCCCTTTCTAGGCACTCGTCTGCCACTTCCTGTCCAGGACTAGAATACGTTAATCCCTATAGCAACCATCTGAAATGCAGATACAACTAGTAGTAGTTGGTGTTATACAAGGTAGAGAACCAAGGTGCTAAAGAATCCTGTCTGGCCACACCGTTAGTGGAGAGTCCAAGGTTAGCTTGGTACAGATTTAGCTCTGCACTTCTTTGTAATTGGAGGTGGAGGTTTTTTTTTGTCCTGACCACCCAGTCCCAAATAAACACACAAACGCTTATATTAATTACAGAATGTTTGGCCAATAGCTCAGACTCATTACTAACTAGTTCTTACATTTAAATTTCTATTAATAACCCATTTCTATTAATCTATGTATTGCCATGTGGTTGGTGGCTTTACCGGTCCTCTGGCATCTTGCTTTCTGGGCAGCTCACTGGTATCTCTCCTTGACTCCGCCCTCCCTCCTCTATTTTCAGTTTGGCTTTCCCCATCTAGCCTTATCCTGCCTTGCTATAACGGCCAAATAGGCTTTATTATCAACCAATGAGAGAATAATAAACACAGCATACTGAAGGATTGTCCCACGGCATCTGTTTGACCATTCCTAGAGCTCTTTCTCTCACCCTGTCCCTCAACTCTTACCCCGGATTCCTGTCCCCTGCCCCCCCCCCCCTCCGCCCCGTACTCAGCTCTCCCTTGTTTGGGACTCTGGATGGGTTGATAAAAACCATCCGGATGCAATAGACTTCAGGCTAGATTGGCTTTAACTGTCGCTTCATCACCCAGGGCATGTCTCTGGACTGTGTGGAGATCTCTCTGGGCCGCGTGTTTGCCAGTGGTCAAGCCTATGTGGCCCTCTCGAGGGCCCGCAGCCTACAGGGCCTACGCGTGCTAGACTTTGACCCCACGGTGGTTCGCTGTGACTCCCGAGTGCTGCACTTCTATGCCACCCTGCGGCAGGGCAGGGGCCTCAGTCTGGTAAGGAGTCAGCTGGGTGTGGGCAGACCCCTAGGGCAGCAAATCTTTCTGTTGACTCCTTCGGGGTGGAGGCAGAAGGAAAGAGGCAAGAGGCGTTGGCCTTCAGGCTGTGGCCCTGGGGATGGGCACAAGCCTGTGACTGGGGCTTTCTGGTTCTGACCTAGGAGTCCCAAGATGATGATGAGGCAAACTCAGATCTGGAGAACATGAACCCAAACCTCCGTCTCAGCTGAAAGAGAAGACAAACGGTGGACTACCCAGCTTCTGGCTTCCTCCTAGGTCAAGGCCCTAGGGAATAACTGGGGGAGGGGCCTGTATTTCTTCCCTCATTCAGCCTTCTGGTGGGGGGACAGGACAAGGTTTCTGACCTATTTACCAGCTTTGTCTCCGCGTCACCCTTTCCCCTGGAGAAACTACTCCCAGGGTCAGAAGTTGGAAATGGTGATGTTACAGAGCACAAAGCTCTCTGCAAGGGCTGGACACAGGCAGAGTTCTGGGCTGTAGACTGGAGAGGCAGTGCAGACCCCACAGGCAGGGCCTGTCTTACTACATTACATTCATTTATTTAGTGTACATTTGACGATCAGAGGACAACTTGAAGGAGTTCGGAGTTCGTGTTCTCTTTCCCCATGTGGGTCCTGGGGGTTAAATTCAGGTCATGGGCCTTGGTGGCAGGCTCTTTTATCTCGTGAACAATCTTGCCAACCCCCGGATCTGTTTTCATTTTCTTTGTGTTATTATAAATACATGAGGCTGGGTACTTTATGAAGAAAATGGTTGCCGGGCAGTGGTGGCGTACGCCTTTAATCCCAGCACTCGGGAGGCAGAGGTAGGCGGATCTCTGTGAGTTCGAGACCAGCCTGGTCTACAAGAGCTAGTTCCAGGACAGGCTCCAAAACCACAGAGAAACCCTGTCTCGAAAAACCAAAAAAAAAAAAAAAATGGTTTACTTAGCTTACAGTTCTAGATTAAGAGCAATGTCTAGCCATGTTGGGCTTCCCAGCAGCTGGTACTACACAGCAGGGGCACATGCAGGCATGATCATATAGAGACAAGCGGCAGAAGACAGCAATTCTGTGGACTGGCATTAATCCATTCCTGAGGGTGGGACCCCTTGCTTTAGTCACCTTCCGTGCGCTCCATCTCTTAAGAGTTACATCATCCTGACACTGCTGCACCGGGGACCAAGCTTCCAGCACAGAAACCCATAAGGAAAACCGTCCAGACCATGGCAGGAGCCTAGAGGGGATAGAGACCAGACGCAAACCCAAGATAGAAGTTTAATTACCTTCGCAGCTGAGCTCAGCCTCACACAGGCCTGAGTAAACACCCTTCTGAGCCTGTGCTGTTTTTAGGGGTTTTAGTGCTGAGGGCCCTGAAATGGATGTTCTCAGGTTGTATTTATTTAGGCCAAATAAACCCGTGAATTGTGTAACTGTGCCTCCTGCCTGGTCTCTCTTCCTCACCAAGGGAGTGCACACAGAGAGCACCCTGGTGTGACGTCTGTGAGGTTTTGTTCATAGTAACTGTCATCTGAAAAACGGAGTTATCTGAAGGTGGTGACAAACAGTGGACCAACAAGGTGCACAACTGTCATCCAAAAGCTAAGACAAAGACACCCTAGAGAAGTTCTAAGTTCGGGTTCTCCCTGAGACTCTGGCTTTGACAGCCTGTCTGATCAGGAAAGAGCCATCAACAAACTACCTTCAGTTTATCAGAAAGCATGATAGAGGGGCTGGCTGGAGAGACAGCTTGCTGGTTAATAGGCTATTAATGCTCTTGCAGAGGATTGCACTTCGAGTCCGAGTACCTGTATCAGGTTATAGTTATAGCCACCTATAACTCCAGCCTTGGGGTGCCAGAAAGGCAGGAGGTGTCGGGGGCCCACTGAAGCTGGAGTTACAGGTGTTTGGCTTGGGTGCTGGGAATAGAACTGGGGTGTCTCTGAAATAGATATTTAAAATAAATTTTAAATATTCTATTTAGTAAAATAAAAATTTTATTAAATATTTGTTTTAAATATATATTTAAAATAAATTTTAAATATTTATTATGCATACAATATTCTTTTTGTTTGTTTGTTTTTCGAGACAGGGTTTCTCTGTGGTTTTGGAGCCTGTCCTGGAACTAGCTCTTGTAGACCAGGCTGGTCTCGAACTCACAGAGATCCGCCTGCCTCTGCCTTCCGAGTGCTGGGATTAAAGGCGTGCGCCACCACCGCCTGGCTTGCATACAATATTCTGTCTGTATGTCTGCAGGCCAGAAGAGGGCATCAGACCTCATTACAGATGGTTGTGAACCACCATGTGGTTGCTGGGAATTGAACTCAGGACCTTTGGAAGAGCAGGCAATACTCTTAACCACTGAGCCATCTCTCCAGCCCCTAGCAGTATACTCTTAACCACTGAGTTCTCTCTCTAGCCCTTGAAGAGATGTTTGCTTACTTCTCAGAAGACATCTGCTTAAAGATGTCTCTCCCTGAGACCATCTGGGTGCCTGGAAGTCCTCTCTTTAGCAATCTCCTTGTGAAGATGCTCCCGGAAGGCCTGGACAACAAAGGCCGCGTGTTCCCTGAAGGGCTGCTGATATTCCTGCCCCTGAGGAGGTTTACAATAAACCTAGCAGTTCTTTATGGGGGGGGGGGGAGGGGGCATCTAATTTAATCTCTCCTGGAACGCGTATCCCTGAGGGGTATAGTGAAATCTCACCTCAGTCAGGAGTCAAGACTCTCCACACTGAGGATGACACAGATTCGGCCACATCAAGCAGGGCTTCCTGGTGGCTGCAATGGCCAGCATCCACAAGCAACAATGACGTCTGCGGAGTGAAGACGGGCAGCCTATCTAGGTGCCTCACACCCCGGTGATCCTGTCACCTTCCTGTCACTCTCTCCCCAACCTCAAGGACCCACCTTTCTGTCTTTTTCCCACGGCATCATCTCAAGAGATGGGATCTAGAGAGTGAATTCAATCAAGACTCCTTAGGCAGGTTCAGGATTTTATTTTTATTTATTTCTTTTTAAAGAAATGAATGAAATATATTTTGTATGTCTGTAGGCCAGATCTCATTACAGATGAGCCACCATGTGGTTGCTGGGAATTGAACTCAGAACCTCTGGAAGAATAGCCAGTGCTCTTAACCTCTCAACCATCTCTCCAGTCCCTAGCTTCAGGATTTTTTTTTTTTTTTTTTTTTTTTGGTTTTTTCGAGACAGGGTTTCTCTGTGACTTTGGAGCCTGTCCTGGAACTAGCTCTGTAGACCAGGCTGGTCTCGAACTCACAGAGATCCACCTGCCTCTGCCTCCCGAGTGCTGGGATTAAAGGCGTGCGCCACCATTGCCTGGCTAGCTTCAGGATTTTAAACAAATAATCCAATGTGAGGAGTGGTTTAGAATGGGGGGAAAAGAAGGGGAGCAAGAAAACCAAACAAAGGCAAACATAGTCTCAGTGTTCATCTCACTGTGTGTGGTAAGAGGAACTACCTGTCCATCTTGTGTAATCTTTTTGTCCATGAATATTGATCAATCACCCCCAATGTGTTAGGTGCTGGGCTCTGCAGATCCCACAGCACACAGAGCTGACACAGCCCACCTCAGGGTGCTGAGGGAGCTCTATTACAATGGGAAAACCTGGAAAACAATCCCAGAAACTGTGACAACGTTTCACAATCAGAAAAAATAAAATACAATAAAAGAGTTCACTAACAAGATGGCATACTAGTCAGGGTTCACTAGAGAAACAGAATTTAGAGAACGAATACACACACACACACACACACACACACACACACGTAAAGGAATTATTAGAATGGCTTACAGTCTCATCCAACAATGGCTATCTACCAATGGAAGGTCCAGTCACCCAATGGTTGTTCAATGTATGAGACTGGATGTCTCAGCTGGTCTTCAGTATATGCCAGAATCCTGGAGAAGTAGTCTCTAATGCCAGCGAAGGGATGGCTTTGCCAGAGGCAGACCTAGCCACTTCCTTCTTCCATGTCCTTTATATAGGCAGCCTGCAGGAGGTCTGGCCCAGATTAAAGGCGGATCTTCCCATCTCAAAAGATCTGGATTAGAGATGAGTCTTCCTGATTCAAATGATTAAAGGAAAAAAATCCCTCACAGGTGTACCCAGATGCTTGAGTTTTAGTTAATTCCTGATGTAGTCAAGTTGACACCCAAGAACAGGCATTATGGACGGTCACAGAAAGGGACTCGGGAGGGGACATTTGAGCCAAGACTGGAAGCAGAGCAAATGGGGGGCCCTGCAAAGGGAGGACTGGGCTCAAGAGCCATGTCCCAGGATTTAGGCTCTCCAGGCAGAACGGTCCTTTTCTGGGTCTGAGCAAGTGCACTGGGCTGTTCTTAGCTATGGGACTGTTTTCTTCTTCAGAAAGCCTCGCGGGCTAATGGTGGAGCACCTGCCTCTCTGCAGCACAGGGCTGTAGAACGTGGAGTGGGGCAGGCAACGGCAGGAGGATGGAAAAGTAAAATGATGAAGGAATGCAAAAGGCTGCCGTGAAAGGAGCCTGCACCTGCTCAAGGATTCTGCTGCTGCTAGGGGACACCTCTCCTACCTTGGTTTCCATCCTAATAATGGAATTTCCCAGTCCCGCTCTCCAATGGGAGAGCTGGACAATGCCAGGCGAATGAGAGAAAATTATTAAAAGAGAAGTTCAAGGGGCATTATCCCTCTTGGTGATATTTGTTTGTGCTCTAACAAACAAAGCTTGTCTGAAGATCAGAGTGTGGAGCTAGCCACTAGTTAGCCACAGAAGCCAGGCAGTGGTGGGAGCACTGCCTCAGGAGGCAGAGGCAGAGGGATTTCTGTGAATTCAAAGTCACCCTGGGCTACACAAGATCAATCCAGTCTAAAAGAGAACCAGAGGCAGGCGGTGGTGGCTCACACCTTTAATTCCAGTACTTGGGAGTCACATGCCTTTAATCCCAGCACTAGGGAGGTAGAGACAAAAAGGAATATGGCTTGGCAGAGAGAGGAATATAAGGCAGGAGGAGAGGGGAGCTCACGACATTTAGTCTGAGGATTTGTAGAGACAGGACTTTGCCTGTTTGGTTTGAACATTAGGAGAAGTAAGAACTCTAGAGACTGGCTGCTCTGCTTCTCTGATCTGCAGGTAAACTTTATTTGTTAGATCGTAAACAAAGTATCACCACAATCCTCTGTGGAGCCCAATAGTCCACTTCTTTTTTTGTTTCCCCCCCTTGGTTTCCAAGACAGGGTTTTTCTGTGTAGCCTCGGCTATCCGGGAACGAACTCTGTAGTTGAGGCTGACTTCAAACTCATAGAGACCCACCTGCCTCTGCCTCCCAAGTGCTGGGATTAAAAGTGTGTGCCACTACCACCTGGTTCCACATTTTTTTGTTTGTTTTTTGAGACAGGTTTTCTCTGTAGCTTTGGAGCCTGTGTTGGAACTCTTATAGACCAGGCTGGCCTTGAACTCACAGAGATCTGCCTGCCTCTGTTTCCTGAGTGCTGGGATTAAAGGTATGCACTTTGCTATTTACTTCAGATGCAGATTCTAGGGATCACTGAGGCAAGGGAGCAAGCAGCCAGAAGTAGGGCTCCTGTCCTGCCAGGGTATTTTTGAGAAATGGCAGGGTCTGTGGCAAGCACATCTCCTGCCCGCCTCTTTTTTTTTTTTAAAGATTTATTTATTTATTTGTTTATTTATTATGTATACAGTGTTCTGTCTATCCGTATGCTTGCTGGCCAGAAGAGGGCACCAGATCTCATCACAGGTGAGCCACCATGTGGTTGCTGAGAATTGAACTCAGGACCTCTGGAAGAGCAGTCAGTGCTCTTAACATCTGAGCCATCTCTCCAGACTCCTCCTGCCTGCCTCTTAGCAGATTGTCTCACCTTGTGCTAAACTCTCATGCC